GCTTCCAGTAATTTACCTACTATTGATGTTAGACCGATTGGGCAGTAGTTAGAGGATAGTGATCTATCCCCCATCTTGAAAATCGGTATTACATTCGCTATCCTCCAGGATTCTGGTACTACACCTGTTTTTAAGGACATGTTAAACAACTTTCTTAAGGGCATACTAAGCTCTTCCTTACATTCCTTTAATACTCTGGCAAATATCTCATCGGGACCAGGTGACTTATAAGGCTTTAGTTTTGTCTATTTGCTTATTAACATCTTTACTAGTCACTACTATCTCGCTTAATTTGTTTTCTTCACTATCCATGAATAGAGTCGGTGCCTCGGGTATCATGTTAATTTTCGGTGGTGAAAACTTGAAAAATATTTATTCAGATTATTGCTCATTTCTCCGTCGTTATCAGTTAGCTCGCCGGTATCTGAACGTATTGGTCCAATCTTATCTCGTGTTTTAGTTTGATACATTTGGTAGACTCCTTTGGGGTTTGTTTTCGCCTCCCCTGCTATCTTCAGTTCATAATTCCTCTTCGCTTTTCTTATCTCGGTCTTAACCCTACCGACCAATACCTTATAATACTCCCGGAGGTAAATTTCGCCACGATTTATCCTTCTACCTATAGCCTTCCTTTGGCCAATAATGTTCTTTAAATAATTATTTATCCATTTAGGGTGATTGTTGTCTGATCTGAGTTTTTGTATGGAATGTTCTGCCTTTGTGCATTAAGTAACTCATTATTTAAATTGTCGTGGAACTCGGCAATCTCAGATCTCGTTTATCAGGTCGGTGTCATCTGTCAGGTTCACACCCAAGCGTGATACCCCCTCTCTCAGCTGCCCCTTTAAACTATCAAAGTCTGCCCTTCTGAAATCTGGGACTTTAATGGAATTCCCTTTACGTCTGACCTGAAAATCTAACTGGAATCTAATTTCTTTGTGATCGCTGTTTGCAAGTTCGTTCCCTACCTCGACATTGCTAATGAGGTTTTTCTGTTCGACAGAACTAAATCGAGTATATTATTACCCCGGGTGGGTTCGGTTTTAAGTTGACTTAGGAAACAGTCCTGGATCGTTTCAAGGAAATCCTCTGATACTGAGTTACCTGTAAGGTCAGTCCAATCCATTGGGCCAAGGTTAAAATCACCTACTATGCAGACTTTGTTGTGTATGGAAGCCCTGCGCATTTCATCCCAGATAAGTCGCTCATTAACTCTATCAAGATTGGGAGGTCTATATATTACTCCTATGATTAATTTTTCCCTACCGTCGATTAATTCTATCCAAATTGTTTCTGTATTCTGCTCAGTTTTTATTTCCTTATTTATTTCGCACTTCAGATTATCCCTGACATAGATGGCTACTCCGCCTCCTTTCCTGGACGGCCTATCGGTATGGAACAATTTGTAATCTGCAACTTGGTATTCGACAGGTAACTCACGTGAGTCTAGGTTGATCCATGTTTCAGTGAATGCTATTATATCGATTTTTTCGGTACATACCAAGGCCCTAATATCATCCACTTTGTTTCTCATATTTCTACTGTTCGCGTAGTAGACATTTAAGTTAGTCGTGTTCTAAGTCCTCCCTTTACCGCGTTTAGGTTTAAACTCCCTGTCTAATTTAGTTTTGTCATCATTCCTAACACTATTTCCCTGTTTACCCACTCCCACTGCAGTCTCCTCCACCCCTGTGCCCACATGTTCCCCTAGCAGTTTAAAGACTTCGATTATCTTTTGAACTGCCCCCTCTAGAGACCCAGCCAGGGTTGCCACCCCATCTCGAGACAGGTGTACCCCATCCCTAGCATAAAGGTCCCTTCTGCCGTAGAAGTAGTCCCAGTTGTCAATGAATAGGACTGATATTGACTTGCAATATCCGTCAAGACGGCCGTTGACACCAACTGCCCTTGACAACCATTCATTGCTAACTCTCCTTCTAGGCAAGACACCACATATGATAGGGATCCCTCCCTTAGTCCTAATACGATCGATAGCTGTCTTGAACTTATCAAGAAGCTCTTCACTCCTACACTGGCCAATATCATTGCCTCCTGCACTGAGGCAGATAATGGGTTTGTTCCCATTACTGTTGGATCGTCACCCCAACGTATAAGTGGTCTTCCTTCCTTCCAACACTACGTCATTAATCCAGATCATGGATCAAGAATTAATCTGCAATGTGAAAGCTGCATACTCTGCAAAGAAGTTAAGCTCCTGAACGACTATACCAACATCAAGGATGAGTTGCGTAACCTGGGTGACACCGATAGCAAGAGCGACGAGGAACAACAGTTGGCAGAGCAATAAGTTCTCGTCAAACAGTTTTGGAGGAAATTTAACGTCAAGAAAGCTGTGGACTTCTTGGTGGAGGCATAGGATCAGCTGTCTGTAGCAACGGTTCGTCACGCATGGAGACATGTGTTGCAAGGTATCCCAGGTGGGAGGCAGAGTCAACCTGTGACTGGTGAGGTTCAGTCTGTTGCAGTAGTAGTGGACCTTGCCAGAGAAGCTGCGCAGTGTTACAGCTGCAGGCTTCTCTGAGACCACCAACGAAGACATCCTCGAGGTGATCAGGGATCCTGAGGTGACTGCCGACGAGATGTTAGAAGACGATCACGTCAGTGAAGAGGCAGGTGGTGCATCATCCCGAGAAGAACACAAGTTAACGCATGGTAATGTTAGGTGTGCCATCGAGTGTGCAGAGAAACTGAAGCTCATCCTTTCCGACGACCCTAACGATAACCGGTATGAAGTCTTCCCTACCCAGCTGTTGTTCCATTTACACGTTTCCCGTTTTAAGGGGGCCTCCGTGGGTTCAACTGACCGCGTAAATCAGGGTATTACTGTACACACACAGTAAACCCTTGCTATTCGTGGGTTTGCGATTAGCAATTTCGACTATACAAGGTAAGCAGACGGTGGCTAGCTTACGAGCCTTTCCTGCAGTGCAATGAGTAACCCCCCACGTGCCAGCAGGTCAACCATTGCCTGCAGCACAGCATCTCTTGTGTTGTACTCTCAAAACTTCAGTGTTTCTGTGTGAAATGGCCCATAAAAGACTGCAGTGTCAGTGCTAGTGATGCTAGTGGAGTGAAATGTATAAGAGACCTCAAACCCAAGAGGAAACAACTACCAATCACTGTTTTTCAAGAAAGAACCAGCCACTTGCCCAGCTGATTCGTCTACCCCATCTACTCAGTCAGCTGCTGCTGCTGCCGCTCATGTACAAAGAAGTGTATATTCCCTTTATGTTTGCCCTTAGGACAATTATTTCTCATATAAAAATACCAATCAGATAATCTTGATAAGGTGACAAATGAAGTCTCATAAAAAATTACCTTGAAAGTGCCAAAGGATCTATAACTTGAAGAGGTAATTTATACATGGTATGTGCAGCAGAGGTCATCTGGCGTATGTGGTACAGAATGGCAGTCTGCCACTGTGAGACTTGCTACCCATTTAAGGAAGTCATAATTTTGTTGGTGGCATAAATAGAAAAGTCACATGTAGGCAGTGAAGCTTTGTGGCAAGTGGAGCCTTTTTGGCAAACAAACAAATCATGAGTGAATTAGGATTAAGTTTAGCCCCGGTATACAATGCAGGTGAAACCTACACATGCAATGATAGATAAGGTGACCACACTGGACAGAAAGAAGACCAGAGAGAATGTCTGCTCTTCTCTGCACGAATGTTGATGGCAGCCATCGCCTCAAATCAGCGACCGTAGGCAAATCAAAATGCCCAGACATTCTCAAGGAATAGTATGGATAGGCTTCCTGCGATTTACTTCAACTCCACAAAAGTCTGGTTCAATGAGGCAATTACAAAGGACTGATGAGACTTATACCATCACTTAAACCCTAAAGTGAAGCATCACCAAGTCAAAGCTCTTAAGTTTTCTGAGCAAGATGTCAAGGATCTTCTCTTATCCCTCACATTCTGACACTGGCAATTTGTTTAATCAGGGTGGAAAAATTAGGTACCTTGCCCTAACACTGTGGACCGAGGCATCAATCATTATGGCCACCAATCGACACTATAGGTGTTGGTGTTGGAGATAAGTGAGGATGAGGAAACAAAACTCTAGCAAACATAATTATTATTGTACTGGGCAAGTGCCTGGAAAGATACCAGTATCAAAAGTGCACACTCTTGTGAATTGTTGGAAGAAAATCCTTTTGACGAGTGAAGTTCCTCTTGATTATGTGGAATTTGAGCACGGGGACCGTCAAAATTTAATGAAACTGAGCAGAGGAGGTGACATCTTTGGTAGAAAACATCCAAGAAAAGTTGGAAGTGGATGAAGATGAACCTGATCATCAATATTTAACAAAGGAAGAAATTGCTCATTATCAGCTTCACCTGTTGAGGATGGATCTGATGAGGAGCAAGAACAACATAACAGGATAAAATCTGAGGCTGACTGTTACAACTTGTGGATGGGTCTTGAAAGGTTCAGATGCAGGGTTACTGTGGCATGAACATTTGAGGTCTCTAAGAGAGCAGATAATTCATGATCAACCACAGAGATATCCGTCCAGTTGGGGGTACCAAAATTTACCCATCTTCTCAACAGCGCCAAGCCTAGGTAGCGGACCACATCCATTCCCAAGAATCGGTACAGTACTACAGTATTTCTATTATACAGTATCTCACACAAACATAAAGTCAACATTTTAACTGTACCATTAAATATCAGACAATATGGATTTTTTTTACTTTGATCTGAGTTATGTATGAATAAGGATCTAAGTAATGATTCTCACACCTGATAATCTAGATCCCATATAATACAAAATTAAGTAGACAGGTAGTTGTAACTTCCCTGATCATTGCATGAAAATCCAAGCAATAATCACCAAAACATCACATAAGCTCAGGCTCTCTGTTGGCTCAGCCATGTCAATATTGTTTATATTATCAACTCTGTATCTGTATTTTTCTGGCTAAATAAACTGTTTCAATATCAACATGACTACATGTGAAAGTGTTAACTTACCGTGATCTGTAGGTGGCTCTAGGTCTCTGGTATGATTCACGGACATAAGGATCACTCCGGCCGCTGTAATAATCTTTAGGGTAGGTGCTCCCATAACCATAGCCGTGGGCAGCAGGGTACTGTCTTGCATAACCACCAGCATATGCGCCATAACTGTCAAGGATATAATTACTAGGTGTTAGTTTATTCTTTGTTTATCGGTCTCTACAGAATGCTGTAAATATTGTATACTGTAATATAAATATGTAAACTTTAAAACTACCATACTAGTCTAAGGAAACACTCAACTACCACAGCCTAAAATATGTACTTGTGTGAACTGTAGCTAACTTCACTAAATTAAAGGAAAGACTGCCCTGACCCCCAAAAATTTATTCAAAATCAAACACTCTTTCTCTTTTCTTTTTTAGCCCCAAAAAATTAACTCGAGCATTTTCTTAAAAGCAAATAATTTTTGTTTATAACGAATCATCTTCCACATTGGAATTTTAACTTCAAAGATGTATAGTGTAAGTCCACAATCCCTTATCCGAAACCCTTGGGGCCAGATGTGTTTCAGAATTTTTCAGATTTCAGAAAGGTAGTAAGTGTTTTCACATCAGAACTAATTATGTCTTATTCTAGACACAGTGTAGGTTGAGGTATCTGTAGCAAGGTAAAGCTCTTCCTGGCAAAGCACATCACCACCAGCAGCCAATACAAGGAATTCCTGACATCACAGCACTAAAATTATTCCGAGGAGAAGCTAAAGAAGAATATATAATCATCTGGTTGGTGTGAAGAGGAAGAGCATTAACCCTCTCATGGTCTCACCACAAATTGCGTCGCTAGGCACACAACCCCTCCCCCTCAGCCGTATTTCACACCGAGAACGCGCCGACTATACTGCCCTTCAGGATTTATTGAACAGTCTCCAAAACTGGGCCACCAACAACCACGTCACCATCAACCATACCAAGACCATGGTTATGCACATCAACCTCTCCTCCGACATTGTGCCACCCCCTTCCATTACTTTAGGTCCCAACACACTCCAGGTTGTAGATTCCACTAAGCTCCTCGGCGTCACCATAGACAACAAACTAAATTGGACACCACACGTCAGTGAAGTTGTCAAATCCTCCAGTTTCTGTCTCCACCTCCTCCACTGACTCAGGTCCCCCGGAGTTCCTGTACACGAGCTCCTCATTGTTTACTCAGCATTCATACTTCCCAAGCTCACCTATGCCTCCCCTACCTGGTCTTCCTCCCTAAATGCCACACAACGTAAACACCTAGAAAAAGCGCAAAAGAGGGCATGCAAGATAATTCTCTCCCCTTCCTACTCGACTTACCAAGAAGCGCTCATCACACTGACCCTTTCGACTCTCACTGACCATCACCACGACCTCATCTGCAAATTTGTTAAGAAGCTTCTGCACCATCCTCGACATGGCTCCTACTACCACCCGAGATCCCTAGCCCGAGAATTACTGTTCGGCACCACAACCGCATCCAGCCCATATGTGCACGAACTGATCGCTATAAGAACAACCCAGTCCCAACCATTGTAAAAATTATCAACTTGTCATAAACCAGTGTATTCACTCCCAGTAAATCCTACTTCTTGCACTGTCACTATGTTGAAATGCACTGTAGTTTGAGCTTTTCCCCACCTAGTTATTATATATCTTATTTGTATCACTTATGTTGCTTGTATATTTTTTGTAAATCAAAACCCATTCACCAATTATGTAACTGTATATTTTCAGCCTTCTGGCTGCTATGCTCTTTCAATAAACCATTAATTATTATTATTATTTATTATTATTATTAAACAAATGCAGGAACAGTGGACTGGCACCAAGTTCCTCAGATACAGTACATCGCTAAGGGTGCAATTTGGGTCTGGATCATTCTACACAATGTTTATTAAAATGGAAAAACCTTTCCTGTTACCGGTGCAACCAGTGTCAAAAGACTGCCGGGGAGGCTAGATCTCCGACCACGGCCAGGAGTACCAGAGGGTTAAGCAACATCCACATAAGATGTAATTTGAATATCCATATTCACTGTAACCTCATTAATTACATCAAAATGGTGCTCTGGGTTACTTCAATTACCCCAAAAATCCTAATTAACCAAGTTTGGATTATTTTGACATCATTGGACAATTTCCATAATTTTGTGTTCGATTATTCGTTTGTTTTCTGTTCAGTTTCTGCACTTGGTCATGCCTTGTTGCCACATAAACTTATCTACAGTATTTATAAATAATGTTGAAACAAATATTTTCTAAATGTATATTCGTATATTCAGTAATAATAAAGTAAATAACACAGAAATAAACAAATGCAACACTGCGAGGTGAGCTGATGAAGCAGGTGAGGTGACAAGGCTCTTACACAACACACACATTAACAGCACTACTAAACCATTGTCTTATAACATTTTAATTTATATTTTAAAATTAATTCATACATGGTGGTTCGATTTGGCTACTTTTGCACTAAACAACTGATCAGCAAATGAACCAGGGCATATGGAGATGCAGTATACATTACAATAATACTTACAAGATTAAGTTCTGATAAATACACTACAATATTATTTATTTACTAAGTGCTCAAGACAGATTCTGAGGTAAGCACCAACCCTCTTGAGCAGTGATAACAATGCTGCTTGAAAAATCTGAGGTGCCGAATTCCACGACAATTTTAATAATGAGTTACGTAATGCACAAAGACAGAACGTACCATGCAAAAAACTCAGATCAAACAACAATGACCCTAAATGGATAAATAATTATTTAAAGAACATTATTGGTCAAAGGAAGGCTATAGGTAGGAGGATAAATCGTGGCGAAGTTTACCTCTGACATTATTATAAGGTATTGGCCGGTAGGGTTAAGACCGAGAAGAAAATCAAAGAGGAATAATGAGCTTAGGATAGCAAGGGAGGCGAAGTCAAACCCCAAGGGATTCTATCAAATGTATCAAACTAAAACACGAGAATAGATTGGACCAATACGGTCAGATACCGGCGAGCTAACTGATGACGGAGAAATGAGCAATAATCTGAATAAATATTTTTCAAGTTTTCACCACCGAAAATTTAAACATGATACCCGAGGCATTGACTCTATTCAGAGATAGTGAAGAAAACAAATTAAGCGAGATAGTAGTGACTAGTAACGATGTTAGTAAGCAAATAGACAAACTAAAGCCTAATAAGTCACCTGGTCCCGATGAGATATTTGCCAGAGTATTAAAGGAATGTAAGGAAGAGCTTAGTATGCCCTTAGCAAAGTTGTTTTAACATGTCCTTAAAACAGGTGTAGTACCAGAATCCTGGAGGATAGCGAATGTAATACCGATTTTCAAGAAGGGGGATAGATCACTATCCTCTAACTACCGCCCAATCAGTCTAACATCAATAGTAGGCAAATTACTGGAAGCAATCATTTCAAACTCTATTCGAAATCACCTGGAGAAGCAAAAGTTGATCAATGATTCCCAGCATGGCTTCACAAACGGGCATTCATGTCTAACTAATCTATTAACATTCTTTTCATCAGTTTTCGAATCACTGGACGAGGGGCACAATTATGATGTGGTATATCTCAACTTTAGCAAAGCCTTCGACAGAGACCTCCACGAAAGACTAATAAGAAAGTAGAGACTCATGGCATTAAAGGTGGTACATGTATTCTAAAATGGATTAGGGCGTGGTTACAGGACAGAAAACAGCGAGTGAGCATTAACGGCACTAAATCCCATTGGAGCAACGTCACTAGTGGAGTTCCCCAAAGCTCAGTACTTGGACCATTATTATTTATTATACAGCTCCTCCCCGACTTACGACCACCCGCACTTACGACCTACCTCGGTCGTACCAAAATTTGGTCAAATTACGTATTTTCGAGTCCTAAAGTCAGTACACAGACAAAATTTTCATTTGTAATTCACTTTAAAATGGCTGGCAAGCTTAAAAGTGAGTGTTTTGTGGTGCTGAGAAGAGACACCCAATTTAGATTTTCTATTTATTATTTAAGCATTTCCGACTTACGACCTGGATGTCGGTCCCTAACCCCGTCGTAAGTCGGGGAGGAGCTGTATACATAAACGACATAGATATCGACGTAGACAGCAACATAAGTAAATTTTCTGATGACACTAAAATAGGACGTGTAATTAAATCTGACGAGGACTCGGCAAAACTACAGGAAGATCTAAACAAATTTTTCTAATGGTCTGAAAAATGACAGATGAAATTCAATGTGGACAAATGTAAAGTACTCAGTATAGGAGATGTAAACAGGGAAACCAGATACCAGATGAACAACGATGTTATTGAGAAATCCGATTACGAGAGAGATTTAGGAGTAATGATAAGTAGGAATCTTAAGCCAAGTAAACAATGTGTTTTTGCTCGAAACAAGGCTAATAAAGTACTTGGGTTCATACAAAGGAGCGTTAGTTACAAGACTAGCGAGGTCATCTTAAGACTATATCTTGCGCTTGTGAGACCTCACTTTGATTACGCAGTTCAATTCTGGTCACCTTATTACAGAATGGATATAGAATCCTTGGAAAGAATTCAGAGGAGCATGACAAGACTAATCCCGGGCATTAGGAACCTTGAGTACAGAGACAGGCTAAAGCTTCTTAATGCGCACTCCCTCGAGGGACGTAGAGCGAGGGGCGACATGATAGGTATATAAATGGAAGTCAGGGGTAAACAAAGGGGACATTACAAAGGTACTCAAACTATCCAAACAGGAGCGAACTCGTAACAATGGTTTTAAATTTGACAAATTTAGATTTAGGCACGAAATAGGTAAACATTGGTTTGGAAATAGAGTAGTGGATGAGTGGAACAAGTTATCAAATATCATCATTAACTCGAATACGCTGGATAGCTTCAAACATAGGTTGGATGCTCATATGAGCAATAGGGGTTGGGTGTAAATGGGACTGCCCAATATGGGCCAATAGAACCGCTGCAGTTTCCTCCATTCTTATGTTCTAAGATGGTGAGTGCTGACAACATTATTAGAAAGAAAGGGTCAGCGAGACCAATCAGCTGTTTCCACTCTGTAAACAAGAAACTGAGAATACACAAAGCAATAGCACATCTGGGATTGAGTGCGTGATTTTTAGGGGAAAATTAAATATTTTTCAATGACGTTTTATTAACCCGGCACTAAATGAACCTAAATAATATGGGAATTATAGTGAATTACACACTGTTGTTATAAAGGGATGGCAGGCAGCAGTGCAGGTGGTGGTGAGTTGTCCTCCACTTCTCCCCACCTACACACCAAATGTAGTTTTGTGCAGTATCTTATAGAATTCACATTTTAATCCTATTATTCATTCATCTTAATCTATTTCAAAATATATTTCTATACTAATAATTGACTTCTCACAACCCCTCGGTTATTTCAGATTCATTCTGCATTCGTCATTTGGTTTTGAAAAGCACACGAATTAACCCTTAAGCCCCGGGTTAGGGAGCTGCTGGCAGTACCCCCCCCCCTGGGGTTAAAACGAGAAAAAAATCATAAAAAGGTGGGGGGGGGGGAATATGCGGACGTTCTGGAACGTCACCCAGGGCCTAAGGGTCATAACGACGCTTGGAAGATTTTAATTACATTTTTTCAATGCTAATTAATCTCCTACTATGGGTTTCCGAGGCATGATTTTGGTGTTTTTGTGTTATTCTGAAGTACTTAATTAGTTACACCCCTTAAATTCCAGTTCCAAAGAATAGTATATAAAAAAATAAAATTACCAAGGCTTACCGTATATCTCGGCCTATAAGACGGAATTTGAACCTTAAAAAAAATCAGCCCAAAATTAGGGGTCGTCTTAAATACCAGGTATAAAATTCTTACCTCTTACATATTGTGGTTTAGTGTGTCAAGAGTGGTGAAGGAGAACATCGTAAAACACTCGCACGGTCCTACCACTAATTATTTTATACTGAAACTTAAGTTTGGGAAGCCGGATTAAAAATAAGATTACCGGTATATTAAAGTAATAAAAATGTATTTTAAACCTGTCTAACATACCGTAAAATAACAACATACCCCGGTAATAAACACAGCTATCATCACACACCGCCCGCCATTGCAGTTATTCCTGGTGGATTAACTTCAGTTGTACAACCACTTGATGTTTGTCTAAACAAACCATTCAAGGACTTCGTTCGTGAACAATGAAACGAGAGTGGACGATTAGGGTCAAAAAGTCTCATACGAAAGGTTGGAATATGCGTGCTCCTGAACTGGATGTACTGTGTGATTTTATCAAGGCATGGAATGATATTAATGTGGAAACAGTCATTAAGTCTTAAAAAGTGTGGAATATCTAATTCAATGGATGGCATGGAGGATGACATGTTGTGGGAGGACGAGGATGAAACAGAAGCCGAAGCCACGTCATCTGATTTGGAGTTTGATCCTTATGATGATGCAACCATAAATGTATCTCAGGATGTACTTGAGGAACTTATGATGTCACATGTTGATGATGTGGATTTTGAATGTTTTTAATACATGATGATGTTAGTAATAATCATGTGCTAATAACATTTTTTAACTTGTCGGGTAACTTGCTTAAAAAAAAAAAAAAACACGAGCTGAGCAAACAAACAACCATTTCGCTACTATATGCCAGACGCTCCCCCGGCTTGACACAACCACTCTCCCTGCTTACCTACCAGCCCCCCTTCCCACTGACTTAGTAGAAGAATTTGAAGTAGCAAAACGCCTGGACAAACTAAAATTAAAACGCTCTACCACCCCCATTGACTTACCAATGAAACTCTTCAAGGAGTTCTCCCCGGAGCTTGCTAAACCCCTATGCTCCATCATCAATGCTTCTCTCAGTCAAGCCAGATGCCCAGCTGACTAGAAGACCTCTTATGTATCACCAGTGCCCAAGTCAACCAGCCCACAATCCTTAAATCAGCTACGACCTATTGCAATCACCCCAATACCCAGCCTAATCTGTGAAAGTTTTGTGTTCGACTGGGCTTATGCTGATATTGCAGGAGTCGTAGACCCTCAGCAATTTGGCAACATGAAAACTTCCTCCACCACTCACTGTCTTGTCAGCTTTCTCGATTACATATACCGCCATCTCGAGAAACGAAAAACGTCTGTAGCTGTCGCCTTCATTGATTTCACTAAAGCATTCGACCTAGTCGACCACAATATAATCATCAACAAAGCTATTGACCTCGGGCTTCGGAGAAGTCTTATACCATGGCTTACAGACTTCCTCAGTGACCGACGCCAAGCTGTACGCTTCCGAGGGGCTGTCTCCACCTTTCAGTCACTCACCTGTGGCGCCCCCCAAGGCACCAAGATGGGACCACTCTGCTTCCTTATGCTCATCAATGATGCCCTAAGAGAAACCCCTGCTCGCTGGAAATATGTCGACGATCCACCATTGGGATCAGCTTCAACAATTCTGCTCTAACTATACCCCCTTCAGGATTTATTGAACAGTCTCCAAAAACTGGGCCACCAACAACCATGTCACCATCAACCATACCAAGACCATGGTTATGCACATCAACCTCTCCTCCGACATTGTCCCACCTCCTTCCATTACTCTAGGTCCCAACACACTCAGGTTGTAGATTCCACGGCTCTCGGCCACCATAGACAACAAACTAAATTGGAAACCACACGTCAGTGAAGTTGTCAAATCCTCCAGTTTCCGTTTCCACCTCCTCCGCCGACTCAAGTCCCTCGGAGTTCCTGCACACGAGCTCCTCAGTGTTTACACAACATTCATACTTCCCAAGCTCACCTATGCCTCCCCCACCTGGTCTTCCTCCCTAAATGCCACACAACGTAAACACCTAGAAAAAGTGCAAAAGAGGGCATGCAAGATTATTCTCTCCCCTTCCTACTCCACATATCAAGAAGCGCTCAACACACTGACCCTTTCGACTCTCACTGACCATCACCACGACCTCATCTGCAAATTTGGTAAGAAGCTTCTACACCATCCTCGACACCGGCTCCTACTACCACCTGAGATCCCTAGTCCGAGAATTGCTGTTCGACACCACAACCGCATCCAGCCCATACGTGCACGAACTGATCGCTATAAGAACAGCCCAGTCCCAACCATTGTAAAAATTATCAATAACTTGTAATAAACCAGTGTATTCACTCCCAGTAAACACTACTCCTTGCACTGTCACTATGTTGAAATGAACTGTAGTTTGAGCTTTTCCCCATCTAGTTATTATATGTCTTATTTGTGTCACTTATGTTACTTGTATATTATTTGTAATTCGAAACCCATTCCCCAAATATGTAACTGTATATTTTCAGCCTTCTGGCTGCCAAGCTTTCAATAAACCGTTAATTATTATTATTATTATTATTATTATTATTATTACACACACACACACACACACAGTCATGCGCCGGTTAACGTCCTAGATACGTTCTTCGAAACGTGACGTTAACCGTAATGGACGCTGTCCGATCATATAAAAAAACGCGATAACGAAAGTACAGAACCTATGGGAGTTATTCTAATTGGTTTCAGGCACCCAAGACCCAACCCCAAGTTTCCCATTTTACAACCATTTAGACCCACTAAATATATATATAATGTTATGGTAAATATCATAAACACACATAGGAATGGCTAGGTTTATTACAAAGTGATGAAAAGGGTACGCTCAATACTGTAGTCCACAAAATATGTAGCTATGCTTTTTTTTATTTGGTCCCCCATCATACAAGTCCGTTTTCTCTCGCTTCAGGACGCCTGAGTCCTCCATTTTCTCTCAATCTTAGAGTGCACCAGTGACTTCGTTATCCCTTAGTTATGACACAGAATTTGAAATTGCAACTGGGGTTGCAATTGTTGAGGCAACTAGATATGTCTGATTACAGCAAATGTGTTATTGTCAATTTGTAGGTGAAAGATTTTATCCTCAATAGATGTAGGTTAACATTACACCTGGAGGCAAATGCTTACTAAAGCCTAAGGAAGGAAGGATATTCCTTTAACACACAATATCTGGCCAGCATGGGGAGGATCAACGTGTTTCCGTCAGGGAGTCGTGGAGTGGTGGTCCAGCAGGCGTCACGGAAGTGGGTTTTTGGGGGGTATATGCGATCGGACTTTAACCGATGTATGCATGTTTGTGTAATAAATGTATGTAGTAAGTATGTAATCTTTTTCACTCAAATCCTAATGAAACACTACTGAATTAGAATAGCTGGTGTAAACAGTCCGAACAAAGTCCCACCAGCGATCGTCTTGTGAAGCAAGTTTATAAATTAAAGAAAATACTTGCAGTGTGTTTAATAGATTACAGAATATTATAAATAAATAAATAAACAAACAAATAAATCGGTAAATCCATTTCAAATAAATGGAAAAATTTTACTCGACACCGACATTAGTTCCAGTTAAATAACAGACGCTTAAGTGACGTCACTAGTGATTACACCACACCAGCCGGTAACATTTGATGCCATTACTTGAAGTGAATTGGCTTTATTTTAAATAACCAAGGATGTGTAAACAGCACTGGTCAGTGGGATGGTTGGTAAAGGACTACTGGGTCAGTAAGCTCCCAATGGTAAGAGTCACATTTGGGGTAGTCCTATACAGCGAATAGAGCTCAAAACCTACTTTTTAAATGGAAATTTGGGGGGTCGTCTTATAAACCCCGTAGCCTTGTAGGTCGATATATACGGTATATTTTTGGTGGCTTGGGCCAAAATTGGATTTTGTTGAAAATCTCGGTACAGTGCACAGGAAACAAATTTACTGTTCTTAAAACATTTTTGTTCATGGTGACCACTGAGTGCGCACACACACACTCATCTCAAGTTATCACTGGTGACGAGTAATTACCGATTATCAGGAATGTGTTGAGGATAAGCTGCCACGTAGGGATCCGGACGGTCATCCTTCCTGCCGCCATGTTTGTTTCCTGGATATTCTGGAAGCTGTGGGCGTTTGGGATCACGGAGATAATTGTTGAAGTAGTCCACCTGAAACACAGTACAATCCTTATGACAAATTTCTCACAAATAACACACAAATCTTTTCATTTGCTAAATAGAGTAACATTAAGTTGTCAACACCCTAAACTAAGCATTACAATCTGCCGGTCCTCCACCTTGAAATTAGTTATAGAAATTATACAACTAATGTTAATACACCTATAATACAAAACTTGTTCTTGGCTCTGTCTTCTAAGAAGAACTCATCTTCTCTTGCATCACTAGTTTTACAACCCTAACTACTTGCCTCCTGTAATCTTTTTAGGCCAATTATTAAGTGTTTTATGCTCTTCTGGATGTAGTAAAGAACTAACACATAAATTTCCAATTCCAAGAGGAACTGTGAGACAGGTAGCCTGGAAAGATGCCATCAAGGAATCATGCCTTACCCAACCAAGCATGGATTATGTCCATACAACAATGATGATAATGATAGCATACTTTTTTCACTTCCACTTGTTTTCAACTTTATGGGGATAATTCACATTCACCTTAAAATTGGTACAGTAGAACGTCGATATAACACGAGATACGTTCCAAGAGAGGTCGCTTTAAACAGAATTCGCACTAAATCGAAGTGTTTTTTCCATGGAATAAGTTATTTCGGTACTTGAGAGAAACAAAAAATACTAAAAAGACTGAGTCTACCCAGATGCACCTCAGCCCATATCCTAGAATAAACAAAACATTGTTTTTTGTAGTATTATGTTAAAATAAACACTCATAAATCAACACAGCTAAAATTATGGGATGTGAAATGGTCTGTTTACTAACGATCAGCTGATATGAAAGGGGGGGGTCTAGTGCATATTTATTTATCTGTCCTTAAGAGTGACTAAGTTTTTCTATTATAAAATGTCACTGAACTGACATGTTCTAATTATTTTATAACAAAGGGCAAAATTTTTTATCTCTTGTGCAAAATATATGATGTTTATATTCAAATTATTTACTGTCTTGCAAGGATTCTAGCAATGCAAATTATATTCTCCTAACTTTAGTCTGTGATATTATATAATATAAAAACTGTAAGCCTATAACCACCCAACCCTGCCTGGGAAGATTGGGGGGGTGACAGTGACATGTTTGACAGTTGGGGCCAAAGGTCTAGTGAAGTATTTATTTGTTTATTTATGTCCTTTAGATTGAGTTTTTGTTTTTTGTTTATAAAATGTCACATAAGTGACTGGGGAGAATATAATTTACATTGTTGGAATTCTTATAAAATATTGATTAATTTGAATATAATCATGTTATAGTTTGCACTAGAAATTTTTTTTAGTAATCATTTAGTACATGTACAGTACAGCTTTGCCCTTAGGACAGTGTAGCGTGCCCAGAAAAACATTAGGCGCGAATTTTAAAATATGATGCGCCAGATTGACTCGCGTAAAATAGTAAAGATTCGCTTTAAATTAAAAGTCCAAACAGTCCTTAATTGTGGGTGTCGCTTTAAATCAAATCGCTTTAAATCGACATTCTACTGTAATAGAAATTAAAGAAAAAAGGTGGCAGATTGGGATAGAGGATCGAGTGCTAGAATGTCCCATAATTTTTAAGATGAAATAAATTACCTCTTTCTTGACTTCCTTGACCTTCTCAGCATGTTTAATGAGGATGTGCTTGTGAACATACTCAGCACCCTTGAACTTCTTCCCACACAGTGGACACTGCCACTTGTCTTTGGCTACTTCCTGGGTGTTGGACTGGACAAACTTCTCCACCTCTTCCTCTGCTTCTTTCAGACCTGAAATAAAACACATTCATAAACGATTACAGTCAACCCTCGCTTTACGCGGTCCCACATTCCGCGTTTCCACGTTTACGCGGTACCCTGCCGAAACCGGAATGCTCGCATTCCGTGGTGCGTGTACCCCTTTACGCGGAGAGCGGCTGGCAAGCCGCGTCATTTTTGGATCCAAACCTCCCGCCATCCGCCATGTTGTGTAAGTGGCGCGAGCAGGGTGCGCACAAGGTCGCCCAGTCATCAAAACATTACCGAGTTCTTCACCCGCCACCCACCACAGCAGGCCCAAGTCAGTGATAGTGATAATTATAGTGAGGATATGGACTTATATGGACTTTGAGGGGTTTGACAAAGAGGCCCTGCAAGCCTCTGTGGTGGATAGTGATACAAGTGATACAGGTGAGGGCCAATAATCTGCCTCTGCCTCGGAACCAACCCCCCATCCCCGTGTGCCCAGCCATCTTTTCTACTAATGTGTGTTAAAAAACCTAATATTATTGATATTTCTCTTAATTATTAATTGTGTGTGCATACCATCATAAAATTAAGAAGTTATTTTTACTACAAAGTAGGTAGTGTCTGAAAAAGTGGAGTTGGGGGGGTCGGCCCGGTCTCTATTTCAATTAATCCCATAAGTTATGTTGTTCACTTTACGCGTTTCTCACTTTCCGCGGTACCCTGTGGGTTGAATTAACCGTGTAAGGTGAGGATTCACTGTATATGAAAAATTACAGTAGTATAAAAAAAAAAATGCCATTAGGTGAGAGAATGTCTATTAAAACAGCTGATGAGTCAGAGTCACACCAAGGTACAGTAAAGTAATGTGCCAACACAGTGCTGCCCTTCAACACCTAAACTACCCCTCACGAATAACTGTCTTACTTCAGGTTAAAACTGTAATCATTGGTTAATGTGCGGTGTGTTAGACCTTCACTACTCACCCAACATCTGCTTCTGCACAACTATGTTCATTAAGAAAGGTGTGAGAACTCGGGAGTGAGAATAACGGCATATGTACAAAAAAATTTAATAAAAATAATAATACACACAAAGAACAGTTATTCCACCACAAACTTACCTAACTTTTTTGATTCATCATCACTGAGTTTAGTGAGGGGCTGAAGGAATGACCCAATTTTGTTCTCAAAGGCTCGACAGTAGTCCTGTACCTCTTGTGGGGTGACCTTGCTTGAGGGAGGTATGCCACGTGCATGCATTATACCACACCGGTTGGGCATTTCATCTTCATTAGGGTATTCGGAGTGGTTGTAATAGTCAACAGAGTGAACTATGCGAAGATACAGTAGCAATCTATCAAGAACCTGCAAAATACACAGATCAAGACGAGGGCAAGCTAAAATTTGAATGATTTAATGTAATACTTGACATACCTTAGATCAAAGGCTTGACCTATGAACAGGTTTAATTTTCCTGTGTAAAATATAATCAAGCTTCAGATTAATGTTTAATAATGTCTAAGCACAACCACTAAATAAGTCCACAGTCCTCTCTCCCATCCATGAGCCCTGTGAAGCCAAAACAACACATAGTGGAACTGTGTGTTGTTTTGGCTTCACAAAGACATGATTTACAGGGCTCATGGATGTAGGGGACTGATAGGACTTTTTTGGTGGGTGTACATCAATAGTACAGTACATGAACACTTACTGCAATAAGACTTGGATCACGTTCTATTGCTTCCCCCTCAGCCTTTTCCTCAGAGTTGTTGGCGGCGGCATTATTAGCTCCAAGAAGCTCCTCCTCCTCTGCACTGGCTTCTTCTATTAGATAATCAGTTATGTTCCGCAACACTGGGTTTGATGATGAAGTCAGGCTAAGCAACTGCTTTGAGGACAACAACACAAAACCATCAGTAACATACAAAAATTATAACTGCAAGAATTTTCTACCTACAGAACAACCTTGAGAATCTGCAACTAAAATCTAACTCCATCAGATATCTCAGAATTGACTCTGAGATTCCTCCCAATTTAAAGTATATATATATATATATATATATGGGACAGAAAACGGAAAAGTACCGTTGTTTTCCTCAGGTGTCTCTCATACTTCATAAAGGCTAGAGCCCATATCTAAAATTATGGGGGTTTACTGTACAGATATACACAACACACACACACATACACCATGTACTGTACAACACACACACACATACACCATGTACTGTACAACACACACACACACCATGTACTGTACAACACACACATACATACACCATGTACTGTACAACACATACATACACCATGTACTGTACAACACACATACATACACCATGTACTGTACAACACATACACCATGTACTGTACAACACACACATACATACACCATGTACTGTACACACACACATACACCATGTGCTGTACAACACACACATACATACACACATGTACTGTACAACACACACACACATACACCATGTACTGTACAACACACACATACATACACCATGTACTGTACAACACACACATACACACATGTACTGTACAACACACACATACATACACCATGTACTGTACAACACACACACACATACACCATGTACTGTACAACACACACACACATACACCATGTACTGTACAACACACACACACATACATACACCATGTACTGTACAACACACACACACATACACCATGTACTGTACAACACACACATACATACACCATGTACTGTACAACACACACATACATACACCATGTACTGTACAACACACACACATATACATACACCATGTACTGTACAACACACAGTTTTTGCTAAAATTCTTTAAACAACCAACCACTATCCAGGGTATATTCAATAGACCTACTCCTTAATGATGTGTACAACCGTTCTTATACCATTGACCTGTTCCCCTTGATTCTGTACACTCTATCAGCCACTCAACTGATACTAAACCTAAATTACCAAGTAAATCTGAGAACTGAAAACCCAATAATTATGTAAACTTGCTATGCTAAATTTAAGATATTCTATAAAACCTGAAACATGGTTATTCCAATCATGTATCTAGAATATCACATACTGGATTGCCTTGAGTATCGCAGAAGTCAGCCCACAGGCCCCAGCGTGAGTCCAGATTCTGAATTATCTTGGCCGACAACTTGATGTCTGCGCGCACAACAGAACGATGAGAAGTGATTCCGTTGACGGTGCGGATCCGACGGCTGAGATCTCGGTTGACGATGGCGCCGAGTTCACAATCTCTTAACTGTGGGGGGGGAGGAGAAGCCCCACGATAAGTTTGGGAAGAAAGTAGCACGAGGGGTAAATGCTTCACAACACCCGACTAACAAACATCAACAAATAGGTTAAAACAGACAGATGTATGGGAATCAATATTATCTCAACATTGGACCCAACACCAATACAGTATTTTCAGATGGGTGTCCATTTGGGGATATAATTCTCATAAACAAAAATATTAATATTTCTCTTCATAAATTACTCACTCTAATATTGTTCAGGTTCCAGCAAATATCCTTGATGTTGACGTGTCTTTTGAATGTTACCCAACCACGCCTGAACCACCGCCGCTCTGGCTGGGGGTCTGCAATAGCTGCCCTTAGAAAACCATTGTATCGGCGGCACATCTGTCAACAGAATCATGCAGTATATTTAATACATCATTAACACACTACTTACCGTTCCTTCCAAAATAAATTCCTAGTTCCATGATATAATACAACACATTATTGTAAGCAAGGGGAACGCGAACAAATACGAGCACAAAAGAGGCATTATATATGAACATTGAATATTAACCCCTATATGGCAGCTGAAGGGCTTCCCTCCCCCATACTACATCAGACAATGGTAATCTCTGCAACAGTCTCCAGCACAAAACCAATATTATATTCCTTGCACTATGAGAAAACAGATGTTCTCCTACTGCATCTCTACTACATGAACACGTGGCACTGCCTTTGTTCCACTTTCCTTTCCCAGTCGGTGGCAAATATTCAAGATGGTGCAGTGTTGTCTGACTCAGCCCAGGAAACTATTCCTCCTCTGAACATACATTAAGATACCAAAAACACTACAAATATAAGTCACTTAATACAACCCTCATGGTGACACATTCTCCTTTAAATATATTATTTAAAAATATGACACCAACAACCACAGCTGCAGGGACTTACAGCTTCCACTTCCTGTTTGGTGATGGTGGGTGCAAGATTGCGCAGGAAAATTGATGCAGTCTTGTGCAGAGCTCTGGGTCGAGGGTCCTCCTCCTCCTCTTTACTTTCCTCCTCCTCCTTCTTCTCTTTGTCTTTATTCTCCTTGTCACTAACCTTGGACTCACTTTCTGTTACACAATACAATACATCATTAATATCTTGTCACTCAGTACAGTACATGACTATGCTAAAATAATTTTGGTTTTATAAGACATTTCTTAGAACAAGAAATAGGGACAAAAGCTGGAACCAGGAGCACACAGTCTCACCCTTCACATATTGTTATTCATTCACTTCCAGACAAAAGCCCAAGGGTTAAACAGACTCCTGTGCCACTAAACCAGGTGAGCAGCTCATGGCACAAACCTTTAGGTTAGGTTAGTAGGTTAGTTTGCCACTTGTGTAAAATGTAACACCATAAATACCTCCAAACAACAGTTACTATGTGAGTTTACTATCACAACAAACTATTTTGGAGGAATACAGCACAAAAGCATGTTCACAGTACAGACTTAAGGTACAGCATGTTCACAGTAAAGACTTAAGGTACAGCATGTTCACAGTAAAGACTTAAGGTACAGCATGTTCACAGTAAAGACTTAAGGTACAGCATGTTCACAGTAAAGACTTAAGGTACAGCATGTTCACAGTACAGACTGTTCACAGGTACAGCTCACCTTCACCATCCTCTCCCTCTTCTATCTCCTGTCCATTCTCTTCTCCTGGAGGTTGAAGTCCATTTTCTTTTTTCTCTTCTTCCTTTTTTCCTTCATCTTCCTCTCCCTCTTCTCTTACTTTTGAGTCGTCTATACTTCCCTCCTTCTCCATGCCAGGTGGAGGAGGTTCCTTTAACTCATCATCCATTGGTTCGTCCTCCGACTCGCTGGAAGAGCTCGACGAAGAACTACCCGAGTGTTTTCGTTTACGGGTTTCTGTTGCAATGAAGGAAATGTATAATTAAATCTTATTTATCTGTTAAAACCATAATACAGATCAAACTATGACTAAGTCAGTGCCTAATACCCCCCCCTCTAGTTAACAAAAGTAACTATGTCTTGATCCTGAAGTAAACAGGTTTGATCCTTTACAAAAGATCAATGATGTTCATCCTTCTCCAGGACGAATAGACCAACAGTAAGGCTAAGTCTTGTACATCTCCATGAACTTTGCTTGTAAAGGGCATTTACAGATGGGATATTGTAAACCATGGAGGAACTTGTATAGCTTACCCTTTTCTCCATCTGTGCCCTTCTGCTTGAGGTACTCCTTGGCCTTCTTCTGGAGCTCCATCTGTTCCTCTGACATATCCATCTTCAATGGTTCATCCAAGTTCTTCTCTTCTGATTTTTCTTTATCTTCACCTTCATCAGAACTGACAAATATAGATTAAATAATAATTTTAAGACCTTCCCGTCAACGCTTCACCACGGTGCCATCCGTATTTATGGTAAAACTATTTCATTACTTTACCATACTAAAATACGTGGAATGATCATCACGTACTTGTACGCATAAATCTGAGATAAATGCAAGAAAAATGCACATAAATGCCTGACTGATGTAAAGTGGGGTAGAATATTTAACTTGGTTATAAGTCAGAAATAAAGTCTAATAAACAAGTGATAAACTTACTCTTCCCCCAAAATAAAGGGTTTCTTCTCCTCTTCATTGATCTGTGGCTTAACATCCTCCTCAGGCAACTGGTCCAGCACCTGTAGGTCTAGGTCAGTGCCACCCTCCAGCTTGATCACAACAGAGTCCAGTAATTTGAGAAGCTGGTCTGACTGGTCAGCGTCCACACTGATGTTGTCCATGCGGTTGGCCTCGTGCAGCTCCGTGAAGACAGACACGCGCCGCTGTTGACCGATGGTGATTAGTTACTTGAGACAAGAAAACCTTCAGTAGCTACAGAACAACTTCGGTCATGGAGGTTTCAATAATAACTACTGTACTGTATTACCAAACATTTATTGAAACTAAAAACCTACTTACAACAACACTAACGAGTTTTTCCTTTTCTTTAACGTGACAAATATATGACATACATATTCTGGTCCTGTTTATCATCACCAATCTTGCACACTATTCCTACTACAATTCTCTCATTTATGACTCCCAAACACTTGAACCTATATACTGCATAACAATCATTCCTCTTTTCTTTTTTGTCTTCATTTGTTTCACTTTTCCTTCTGTAACTGTTAATCTGTCTCTCTCACCCAAAGAAGCAAGCCTACCATACACAAAACACACACACTCACATTACCACACAAACACACACATTACCACACAAACACACACATTACCACACAAACATACACACTACCACACAAACACACACATTACCACACAAACACACACATTACCACACAAACAGACACATTACCACATAAACACACATTACCACAAACACACACATTACCACACAAACATACACACTACCACATAAACACACACATTACCACACAAAACACACACACACTACCACATAAACACACACACACTGTCACAAACATACACACTACCACATAAACACATTACCACAAACACACACACACAAACATACACACTACCACACATTACCACACAAACACATTACTACAAACACACACACCACACACAAACATACACTACCACATAAAACACACACATTACCACAAACACACACATTACCACATAAACACACACATTACACACAAATTGTTATTACACTACCACACAAACACACATTACCACACACAAACACATTACCACACAAACATACACACATAAACACACATTACCACAAACACAATATGACACACACAAACACACATTACCACACAAACATACACACTCACCACACTAAACACACACACACACACAAACACACACACACACAAACACACACCACCACACACAAACACACACATTACCACACAAACACACACATTACCACACATACACACTACCACATAAACACACAATGCCAAACACACACACACACACAAACACACACACACTACCACAAACACACACACTAACACACAAACATACACATTACCACATAAACACACATTACCACAAACACAGCACACACACACAAACATACACACTATCACATAAACACACACACCAGCCAAACACACACACACTACCACACAAACACACACACACTACCACACAAACACACACACTACCACACAAACATACACACTACCACACAAACACACACACACACACAAACACACACACACACAAACATACACATTACCACATAAACACACATTACCACAAACACACACATTAACACACAAACATACACACATCACATAAACACACACTACCACACAAACATACACATTACCACATAAACACACATTACCACAAACACACACATTACCACACAAACACACACATTACCACACAAACATACACACTATCACATAAACACACATTACCACACAAACACACACATTACCACACAAACATACACACTACCACATAAACACACACACACTACCACACAAACACACACACACTACCACACACATTACCACATAAACACACACACTACCACTCAAACACACACATCTTTGACCACCGGAGGGTCACGGCCTATCAGCCGCTGCTCCCGCTGTGCAGCAGCCTCCCTTGGCCAATGTCGGCCCATTCCCCAAGTCCCTCTCCTCGACCCATCCTCACCACCGAGATATCAACATAATCCTGTCAAAAGTGACAATTTCGTTTTGGAAAGTGGGATCAGTGTTGAACAGTGTATAAGCCAATGAATTAAGCCCTTGACAGTACTAGCGAGAGTAGTGACTCACCAGTGAGATAAGTACCCTTGGGAACCGACCACCATCATCTGACCAGGCGGTCCCTGGAAACAACAGTGGGCCAGCTTTACACCTGACTACGAGATAACACAACACCAACCGGTGTCTCCATGACCACGTAAGGTCCCTCGTATCAACACTCGAGGATGAGTCACTATACCACGTGAACACCACACCACACGGTGTCTCCATGACCCCGTGAGGTCCTTCATATCGACACCTATGGACAAGTCACTACACCACCCGGTGTCTCCATGACCACCTGAGGTCCTTCATATCAACACCTATGGACAAGTCACTACACCAAGTGAACGCCACACCACCCAATGTCTCCATGACCACGTGAGGTCCTTCATGTCAACACCCGAGGACGAGTTACTACACCACGAGGCCTATGTGACCTCACACAGTATGGCAAGAGACCAGCCCCAACCATCAGCTGTAAACTATAATATGTTTGTTCAATTCATGTTCCTTCTCCTCTCAGTAATTAAAGCTTTTACTAAACGACCCACCCACCCACCCCATATCTTTGTATGTAATAAGTCATTTTTGTCCAATGTATATTTTCAGCCTTCGGGTTGCAGAACTTTTTCAATAAAACGTTAATTATTATTATTATTACACATACATACATTACCACACAAACACACTCACATTACCACACAAAAACACACACATCACCACACAAACACACACACTCACATTACCACACAAACACACACACTCACACTACCACAACAACACATACACATTACCACACAAACACACACACATTACCACACAAACACACACACACACTCATATTACCACACAAAAAAACACACACTCACATTACCACAAACACACACACTCACATTACCACAAACACACACACTCACATTACCACAAACACACACACTCACCATTCCTCTTGCACTCTACACACACTCACCATTCCACATTGTCACTCACAGCCTATCACCTCCTCCATCTCATTTACTCTGTTTTCCATAATATGCCTCAACATTTTCCTAGTGCATTAACAGAGGCCACAGGGTTTAACTTAATCGTTATGGGAAAATGCAGGATGTATGGAGATGTGTCTACTTGAGATATGCCGGTGATAAGCTACTAGTGAACGACCCCGACAGAAAAAAATAGCCAAATATACAACCAACTGAATTCTATTGGACTAACACATGATCAGTAATATAAAACTCCCATTAACTTACCTTGAGGTTGGCCAGCTGCTCCTCCTTCCTCTTCACACACTCCTCAGGATGGTACTTGGCCTTGAACCTAAAGTAAACCATTGTAAGGTATTAGGTACTGACAGCTCCTCACTTACTCACGACAGCGGACTACAGAGCGTTTCCTTACAAGACTTACAGAATCATCAGCTTACTAGTTATTAGTCATCCACTGTACAACCATCACATTATTAACTACTCTATAATTGACTTAGCAATACTAATCAGTGGTAGAGACACTCCTAACAACCGGGTGTATTATCTGATGCTGCATGTCGTCGTTGCTGGGTCCCTTGCGATTGACTATCTTTGTCTCAGTACTGTATTGGTGATAATGGAAGAGATATCAAGAAATATGTTACCACTAGGCACAGTAAATCTCACCTGCCTTGGCTGACTTTTGTAACCTGTATCACACATGGGCTCGATAAGTAGGGAGCGAAGCGAACGATAGGTCATTGTGCGACCCCCTAACTAACTTAAACGTTCAGATCGCATCACTAACACTGCATTGCGCGCAGCGCCCCTAACTAACCGCGGAAACGAGCCCCATGTGCGTTTTTCACCAGTTCACCAGAATAGAAATTCAAGTTGGCTTGAGGTCTGCAGCAGTTGGTAGAAGCTGGAAAATAACTGTTAGGGGGCAAATGTTAGATTAGGAAGGGAACTGTCTCAAGCAGACATCCCATTCTAATATTTAGACTTAGTCATCAAAAACTGGAGATTGTCTAATGAAAGTTACTCTTAAATTAGTATTAAAATGAAATGATAAAACTCCTACCTGGCTAACAGACATCATCACTAATAATACCTGTGTGAGAGTCTTCAGGTCACGTGTCCCTTATCTCCTTTACATAAAGACCTTATTACTGTAGTCCACTTCCTTCTGACAACATTAAACCAGAGCTAAGAAAACTATTCAAGTGTTCAATATGTAACTGAGACAATGTTCTAAAATTAATGACTAAGAAGAAAAAGACCACAAATCAAGAAAAATTTAAGTTGACAGTTAACTATTGGGTGATTATTGTTGTTATTCTTTCTGTTAGACATTTCCCTTTGTACAATAATAGACAAAGGTCCTCCGTTCTCTACCGAGATCATAAACACTATACAGTACTGCACTGATGTCTAAAAAATAAATAAACTTATCTCCTCATGAACCTGCATAATGCAGTATAGAAATAAATGGAAGTGAAACTACAGTGCTGGTAAGGTTAGGTGTAACAAATACTTCAACCTGAACAAAGCTATAAACTTTAATAACTACTAATGAACGAATACAGTAATGAAAACTAATGACCTATCATTTTGTAAATAGCAACATTGTGTAAAAAAAAAAAATAAATAAAAATAAAAAATAAATAAAGCCCCTGAAATAATAAAGAAGTGTGGAGAGACATTAAAAAAATCCCTGGTGTGTCACTAGCAACAAAAACAGCCATGACATCCCCCCTACTTACAGTTCCATCCACAGGGGGGACACTTCCCTCAAGTGTTGTGGACTGGAGGCTCAATGGCTGCCTCATCCCACACAACAGTCCTCAATTCTGTGCCCACACATTAACACCCTGACTTGCCAAACATATAAATTATGTACATAACTAAGGTGAAACATCAATTGAGGATAAAATAATAAAAGCTTACACCTAGCTACTTCTGCACCTTATCATGCTGACCAACCCTACAAACTGCCTACCCAACCAACAACAATTAATTTCTTCCGAAGCATTGAAGGCATTGATTCCTAAATACTACACTCCTTTGATAAGAGCAAGTGGTGTCCTTCAGTCCCACTACCTAACAATACAAAACAAAAGACTAGTATGTGAGAGCAAACTTGCAGACAGTGTACAATACTATAAAGCCCCAAGCCTGTCACTGTAAAAGCACCCCTGCTACTGTACTGTGCTCCCAAGAGGCACCACCCCATGAGCCAAACCTGCCGAGCCTAAACACTAATGATCTCATCTTGTACTCACCATTCTTCCTCCTTGTGGTTCACAAAGAATTCATTTAGCTGTTGCCTTTTAAACTCAAGCTTGTACTCAGAGTACTTCCTGAGGGCCTCCTCTTCGGTGATAGAGTCATCACACTGCTCCATAAAAGCCTTGAAAGTCATCATTGGAGGTTGTGTTGGACCTAGTTCATCCAGTCTGTTAAAATCACAAATATTATTGACAAATGTTAAATATTAGTTATCAATTCTAACATTATTTAAGTTCAGTGAACACAAATTACAAAGCTCACTTCTACTGCAACTACAGGGACAAACATAGACCAGTACAGTATATGAGTGAACATTCACATCTGGGATACTGTACTGTACAAGGTAAGCCACTCTTCTTCGTTACAGACAAATTTGACATTAAGGTAGTCACCCAAAAAAGCCCTGTCGCGAACCATGAACCCCAAGATTCAGACTCTTGAATCCGAAGCATTTATGGACAGAATAATGTATCAGTGTCTACTACTTCTGGTTCACGAGTCTGAATCTCGGGGTTCGTGGTTCGCGATAGGACTTTTTTGGGTGACTGTACATCTGGGTCATGGACTTGACCTTTGGGGGGAAATATATGAAACAGTTCAAGAAAAGGTAATTGATTATTCTAATGTGAGAAAGTAGTACACATGAATGATCACAACATAAAGGGTCTATTTCACAATCATGGCAAGGAAATTAAGCAAAAGGTTATTCCTGAGAGCTTGTATCCCGAGTGTGATGAAACAACTAATGTGAATGTACACTACTAACACATTATCAACTAACCATTCCAATCTAACCTGACTCTCCTTTGTTGTTATTCATAAAGTCTTGCCTGAAGCAGACCCACTTCTTGATACCTACAGTACAGTATGTATATCTTCAAGGTGGCAATCCAAGAAGCAGTCTTTGCTTACACACAATAAATGAAAAAAAAAAAAAATCACATGATATCTAATAACAGCAAAAAAGAGTGATAATAAACCTAATCTTAGTCACACAAGTCAACTTTACCTATGGTATAACACCACAAAGGTTCTAGTAATCCTTTCAAGGGTCAAGGAGACCAATGCCCAGTAGTACTCAAGATTGACAATCCCATCCCAAAAACTATTGAACACATGGCTTTTGTAGAAAACTCCAGGTTTTTGTCCAACTTTGTACAAAACAGTGGGTTTACTTATATAGTAGGTGTTGCTATCTATAGGTCAGCATTATTTTGTCTTAAATCAATTTTCAGAATCTCAAGGAATCGACAAAGAAAAAATACCATAATTCAATTTCATTCACACATTTGTTTTATGATGCACAGATCTGAGCACATGCTCAGTCTCAACAAAAAATTCAGTGGTTGCAGTTTGTAAACTAGTACAGTATTTTAGAAAAATCAGTAGTGAAAGTAATTCTTTAACTACAAAATTGTATTGTATCAGAGATGTCAAACTGGGACTGAAATTTATTTGGTATTGTTTACTATTCAGCAATGCACCATTGTCAACAAGCATAGGACAGCTAAAGATTTCTTAAGAAAAAATCCCCTATGATCTTCCATGTTCACTATGTAAAATGTCAGCAAATATTGCACTAAGAAGACACTCAATGTTCGGTTTAGTGTGCACCACCTGCCTCATGAGCTGCACCATCTGTGAGACTACACTAGTCTTGCCTTCCACCATCACTCTACATTATTGCACCACCTGCCTCATGAGATGCACCATCTGTGAGACTACACTAGTCTTGCCTTCCACCATCACTCTACATTATTGCACCACCTGCCTCATGAGCTGCACCATCTGTGAGACTACACTAGTCTTGCCTTCCACCATCACTCTACATTATAGCACCACCTGCCTCATGAGCTGCACCATCTGTGAGACTACACTAGTCTTGCCTTCCACCATCACTCTACATTATTGCACCACCTGCCTCATGAGCTGCACCATCTGTGAGACTACACTAGTCTTGCCTTCCACCATCACTCTACATTATTGCACCACCTGCCTCATGAGATGCACCATCTGTGAGACTACACTAGTCTTGCCTTCCACCATCACTCTACATTATTGCACCACCTGCCTCATGAGCTGCACCATCTGTGAGACTACACTAGTCTTGCCTTCCACCATCACTCTACATTATTGCACCACCTGCCTCATGAGCTGCACCATCTATGAAACTACACTAGTCTTGCCTTCCACCATCACTCTACATTATTGCACCACCTGCCTCATGAGCTGTCTTACCTTCCTGCACCACCTACATGACCAGCTGGGTGACTATAGTCCTGGCCATAGGTGCCTCCATAGGCTCCGTATCCAGCATTGGCACCTGCAGTACTCTCATAAGGGTACCTTCTGTCATCCCTGCAAGGTACACACAAAATAATACACAAATCATTCAAGAACAACAAGGAACACATTTCACCAAGCTAAATTTTGCTGTACGTATTAGTGACCCAAGAAAACCAGCTTTATGTTTTAAATACAAAGTTTTCAGTTTTAAGAGAAAAGGCGTTTTATCGTGAAAATAACCCAACCTATTATCCACCACTTCAGCATGTGAAGTCAAAACCCGATTTCGTTCAAAATCCAGACAAAGGTACAGGAATACCTCACAACCCTGCATATCCACAATTGATATTTTAACTCCCCTATTTGATATTCACAAAGCAACATACCCAGTTTATTCGCAAATTAAGAAGTACAATAACCTAAAGTAATATTTCAAAATGGGAGGGCTAACCGCAGCTTTTGCATCCCGAGGTAAGGCCAGATTAACACACGAGCGTTTCTGTTTCCACGCGTATGTATCAGTGAGGTTGAGAAATCAGTGAAGTTCCACAGGACAGAGAATGTAAGTTCTTAATTCACATGTGGGAGGAGGCGCTCATCCCACACCCGTACTTGTATTTCACAACCACGGCATGAAAAATGACGCCGACAATTCTAGAATTCTTCCTATAACAAGCTTGTTTTTCCTGCACATCATTTGTGGTGAACCTATGGGGGGAGGGAGGGGGGGACTGTAAAGTAGGCCTACGTAAGGCGGTACGTAATGAACATGTGTGTGTGTGTGTGTGTGTAGACTTGGCAGGTCACCATCGCTACATCACCTGTCCCTCTACTGGGCCAACCTTTGCATTGCGTTATTGTTATTTGTCAACTCGTAATTTCAAGTAAATACTGTACTGTACAAGTATTTCTGTTTACTGTTACATGCACACAATTGTTCATTTAATAAAAAAAATAAAATAAAATTGACCAAAAACAAAGATAATGAACCCTGCGTCTCCCTCGTGTAGTGAAGCTATTACCAACTAGCAAGCCAGTATAGTGTTTTAACTATTTTTATTTATTTTTTTTACTGTTACACACACACACACAGTTGTTCATACCGAATGTGCAAATAAATAAATAAATCATTTCATAAGGTTCAAAAACATATATATATAAACATAGATGTCCATAATAATTAGTGTGTGATCATGGGGATAATAATATTGAAACCGTTTATTTATTCAGAAAAACAGATTCAGAGTGGACACTAATAATAATATTGACACGGCTGAGTCAACTGCCTACCACCCTACAATTCGTAATAAAATCATTGCAATTCTAATCTCCCAAACTTAGTTCAAACTTCTCACTTACTGGAGCATGTGTCTAGCTGAATTTGAGTTATCATTGGCTGGCTGATTCCACCATTTTGAAGAGACACCCAATGAAAACCCAGATTTAAAAAAAAAAAAATGAGTTAGTTGTGTTAAAACAAGTTGCCCAGGAGAGGACGCCATTAGTAAGTTCGTGCTTTTTATAATGATATTTAATAGTTTTAATCACAAAAGTAACTGGTGGATGTTTATTCTGGTAATTAAGTATTTTAGTGATGAAATAAGAACAGTGTACAGTAACGTCAAGCCTGTATTAAATAATGTATTGATTGAGGGTTAAGGAAAATTTATGGTATGCCAAGTTTTGTCCATTGTACCTTGGCTTACCAGGAGTATTTTCGGTATTGTACAACATTTGTAAAAAATTGAATGAATGCCTTCTTATTTTTGTAACTTCTTTTCAGTCTAATAAACATGCTTGAAAATATCTAGTTTTACAGTTACAGAATACAACATATACACACAGTAGTACTTCATTCACAAGTCTTGGGAGTAACCCCCCCCCCCCCATTCAGTCACAGCAAATATATGCCATAGTCAACAACACACAAAAAAATTCCAAACTGTGAACAAATTTATTCAAGGAAAATTGTTTTTATTTTGCCTAAAAATATCAGTGAATGCCAGACAATTTTATTCAGCAGAGACAGATCCCTTGTACACAAAATATGTTCCCATAAGTACTGTAGTAAACATTATATACAGTTCATTAGTCAAACCAAATTAAACAGCTTAATGTTCAAATAACTAAGTAGAGTACAGGTGGTTGTAGACAGAAGGCAGCTTAAACACACACATACCAGTCTTGTCTCATCCTCTTTACCGGAGGAGACATGTCATGGCGGCTCGGTGAATACCTGTCTCGAGATCTTCCACCATATTCTCTGCTGTACTCTCGCCGGGACGATCCTCGCTCTCTGCCTCCCCAGTTGTCACGTCCCCTGAGGTTAATAAAAAATAATTAAAAACTACAATAAAAAAAATAACTGAACGATGTTTCTTAAAAAAAATGGGAAAACTTGTTCTGCATCAAAGAAAAACAATAATGATAATAAACTTAAGGTTTAAACTCAAGCCATTAGAATTTTTCCCCCCATACAACAGAAGCAAGTCTCATTCAAACTTTAATCACCAGTACTGCTCTGTTCTGTATGAAGCCTAAAGAAAACTGTACTTCTAACCTGTCAGCCCAGTCCTCTCTGGCACCTCGCCTGCTGTCATCCCTACGATCTCTAGTACTGCTGCTGCTGGTGTACTCCGACCTCTCCCCACGGAACTTGTCTCTCCGTCGTCTCTCATATTCGTCATCACTGTCTGCCATATTTTCTACCTGGAATTACAGAGAAATTAAATCATTACCACACAACCACATCAAGGAGCATATTACTTAACAAACCATTCACAATACGACCGACCGACCGACCGTTCCACATGAAACGCCTAACTAAACCTAACCTAAAATAATAACAATATACTTCCATTCTAGGATTTGTTCATCATACCCACAATAAATCATAATATAATAGAGACGGGTTATTTGACTGGTACAGAAACCGGGCAAATAACCACAGGTTATCTGACTGGGATCTAAAATGAACTAAGTAGTACTTTTGACCACAGAAATTTCTGCATTTATTGTACAGTATTGATAATTTCACACTATTAGAAAATTTTTTTTAAATAAAACTAATATATGCAAAATTATGGATAAAATAAATATCAAATCACATTAAATTCTAAATAAATTTGTTAATAAAACTAGCGGATAGTCTGCTCACATCAAGGTGTTAAGGTCTCTGCTGCTATATTCCACTGGTAGTCAAGACACGGTGCAGTCATCAATTATTACCCAAAACTGTACAGTATTTTGTCCAATTCAAGAAATGACGAAGATTTAAAAAATTTATTATTTAGTGGGTTATTTCTTAAGAACAGCACTACCACCAAAAGGAGTTGTTCTATTTCTTTTGTAATTTTTCCACATGTTATCATTACAATAAGTATTTTAAAAGAGGCGACAACCTTTGACTTTAATTAAACGTGCTGAAGTGTCTCACACACCTCCACGTCAGCCAGCTGGGACTGAGGCAGGCATTGTGCATCTGGCAGCGAAGGGAGACTTGAGAACAAGTCAGCCAGCAATCAAAACGTTCACCAGTTGCCCGCGTAAATTTGGTGAACGAAGATTTAAGAGTTTTACCCCACATTGCCCCTATTTATTGCCACAATGCATGTTGTTGCTTTGCTTTGATTACCACAATGGGCAAGAGGAAAGATTTAACAAAAGAGCAGATGGCGCCAATTATTAGTCTGCACAAGGGCAAGAAACCTGTAAAGGAAATACCAAGAATTGTTGGTGTGAGTGAACGATCAGTTCAGATATGGATTAAATTATTTTGAGATGACGGCAGGTTGGCAATACCAGTGCACAGCGGACGGCCAGGGAAGGCTCGAAAAACTTCCCAACGCACGTTAACCGTTCTTAGGAGGCAACTTGATGCTAATCCACATCTGTCAGCACGGGAATTGAAAGAAAAAACCCTGTACAGTATACTTCTAGGTGATGTTTCTGTAGGACTGTTCACCGCCGCATCCATGATGACCCGCAGTTTCGCAGCCACCACGCACGCAAGAAGCCACTCCTCACCCTTCTCCAGAGGCAGAGTAGGGTCGATTTTGCCAAGGCTAACGCTCAGTGGGATACGACCAAGTGGCAGCACGTGCTGTTGAGTGACGAGGCAACGTTTTCTTTTCCTGGAAGTCGTACATTTAATGTGTACAGGCACCCTGGGAGTGATTCGCTTGACTCTAAGTTCACTTTTAGCACAATTAAGCATCCCGAGTCACTAATGGTGAGGGTTGCTTCTCGTACTTTGGAGCTGGCGATCTTGTTGTGCTACCTAGGGATATGATGATGAACCAATTTAACTACTTGGAGCTGCTTTGTGATTATTTGCTCGGGTTTTTTGAAAAATGCAGCGCTGATATGTTTATGCAGGAAGGTACCCCCTGTCACACAGCAAAATCTGTACAATGGCTTGTTGACTGTCAGGTAGACTTCATAAGTGATTGGCCAAGCAATTTGCCTGAACTTAACCCGATAGAAAATAAGTGGAGCATTATCAAGCTTTGTCTACAAGGCAAGGACACATATACCGTCCCCAAGCTGGAGGCAGTCATTCATGAGGAGTGGAATAATTTAGAACCACAAATAATCCAGAACTTGGCAGAGTCAGTTCCTTCACGCCTGCAGGAGTGTATCAAGAGAAAAGGGAGGCCTATTGACTAACGGAAGTTTGTTAACTTTTCAGATTAATTTTTTATTAATATTTTTTCATCTTGTTGTTTATGTTTGTCACAATCCCGTGGATAATGCAATGGCGAGGAGTGTACAGTAAAAAATCACTTGTAGTGAGTTGGGAATGAAGGAAATTTGAGGGTAAAACAGTGCAAACTGACCATATGACACTAAAATGATGTCCCCGTGTGGTTTGTACATGAAGAAATTAATTATTTACCATAAATACTCCCCCCAAAAAATCTGCCGAGACACCACATGTCATCTGTTTGTTTACTAACACACCGCTCAGTCCGAGCATACAGTACAGTACTCTCACACCCATAAAAACATACAATTACAGCATGATGCTTCAACAAAGTTGCTTTCATTGGTGCCAGATATCAAAATAAGTACTTTCTGTTTAATATGATGGGAGCTAGAAGTTAGGTAGGTTTCTAGTAAATGCTGCCTGTTTTAAAATACTTACTCCAGTATAGTGATAACAACATACTATGTGGACAAAATTTACAAAAACAAGTAACTTCTTCTGGTAGTGTTCTCATACATTACCGAATTTTTTTTCCGGCAATTATTCGGAAAATGACCCTCCGCTGTTCTTCCTTGATAATGGGTTTAAAAATACCAAATTTTCAGATTTTATTCGGGGATACAGTACTGTACTGTATTACGTTGGTAAAAAAAAACTGTCTGAAATCATGTGCTAGCCTGTATATTTTAATTTGCCAATACAGTATCTAGAAAACTACGCATTTATACAAGAAAATAATATAACAAAGTAATCAGCACATAAAACTGTCTCTTATAACATCCTCTACAATTACTGAACAGCGGATGGTAACCAGTCGTAAATTAGCCTCTTTTTTTCCTATACGGTGATATCTCCATTAGCCGGAACAATTGGTGCAGAGCTCTTCCGGGAATGAGAGATTTCCGGGTAACGAGACGAGTCTCTAAAAGCCGGAGAAAATCACTCATCCCTGAATTTTCCAGGAACTAGAATTTTTTTTCCGGAATTTGCACCCGATTTTCCTCTCTGTCGTAAAAAAAAACCCACCCCGGAATTTTCCGGATATTTGGAAAAAATTCTGAATTTTCCGGAAATGTGCCCCTCGGAAAATTTTTATTCCAGCCAACGGAGAGTTCCGGGTTTGAGGGATTCCGGCTAACGGAGACATTACTGCATACGATCATAAGTCACCTGTAGGTTAGGTATGTTTATAGCTACAAGACTATCGACTCACGGTGAAATAAATGCCAAATGCCGCCAGTCACGGTCACATATCGTTCTCACGTTGTTCACCAGTAACGGACGAGTAGCCAAACAGCGCATTCATGGTAAAATAGCGTAAGTAGGAACTTAGCCAGTTACGGCAAAATAGCCACTGCCAACAATGATTCATACACACCAAGTGTTGCACCAAAGACCACCTACTGTTGTATTACATGATTTATTGGAGACAAAACTAACTTAACCTACAAAAGACACCAATAGTCAGGATGTCTACTGACCAGACAAAACAAAATTGTCTGGCTTTTCCAGATGCGATTTTTTAAATTTACAGGTACAGTAATTCTATATTTATTAGGAGAGAATAATAAAATTAGAGGCTTTCAATAATATGTACTGTACTGTATAATTATACTATTGGGAAATTTATAGATGATATATAAGATATTAATCAAGATTCTTTTGGGACCCATCCGACGCCAATCTGACAGAAAAAAAAATATATACAGCTATGAATTGAAGTACAGTATTAATTAAAGTACTGTATGTACCTGTGATATACATACGTACTTAGTCTAGGTACTAGTTACAGAACGCTGTCAAGACTCCCACTATTGTCTTTAATTTCCTTAATTTTTTCCCACTTTATTTACATAAACTCCTCACATGTTGGTAAATACATGAAGGTCAGATTTGAGTAAAACACCGAAAACACACATAAAAGAAAACCTATTCTCATACCTAAAGAACCAACCCACCTAACTTACATGGAGGAGGAAATGAAGAGACAACTGACTAAGTGAGAAGTATAACCTCAGGTAAACATGGTGGGAACTTGCGGACAGCCAATGGACCAATATTTACCCAATTCAGTTATTGAAGTGGACTATTTACTGGAATTTGTTCCTAAAAGATTAATTATTAACCTATTATATAGTAAGCATTAATTTATGATAAGATTGCTGTCAAAATAATATTTTGAAGACGAACTGAATTCACATAAAATTCCAGGTTTATTTGTAAAATCCCCAGGAATTTCCAGGTTTCCAATCCCAAATAAAATTCTCTACCTTTTCCAGATCAGTAGATACCCTGATATGCCACGTTGGTTCACCTTAACTCACATCATACAGCAACAATCACTGTGTAAACAATGCAGCAGCATCACCAGTGTTCACACCAAAAAGAAATATTACAATCTTACCCAAATAGCAAAATCCTGGTATTATTATCTCGGTTCAGTCATCCAGGGAATCTTAGGTATTTAGGTTAGGTTAGGTTAGATCAAAATCACTCGTAACATGTCAAAAACTCTCGGAATAACATGGGGATGACAGAAACGATAATTTTACCCAAATCAACACTTTCAGAACTACCATGATGTAAGAGAAACTTTTACCTTATTTATAACTATTTCCTCCGTTGGTTACCTCAGCACTTTCATTTACACAAACACTTTCTACAACACAGTTTACCATCAACACAACACAAACACACCACTTAATTCTGCCCATTGATATCGAATAATATAATAATGCAACTTTGAAAATTACTTTAAAATATATAATAGTAATGGACGGTGGCTGTCAGTGACGGCTGGTAAGTGACAGCTACGGTATATTGTACTTGCAGGTGTGTGGTAGTCAATGAGGGATGAATTGTGAGCCAGTGGAATGTCAGGGGGAAGGGGAGGGTGATGAGAGGGAGGGAGAGATGAGTAAAGGTAATGCGCGTAGGGTGTGAGGTGTCCCCGTCACCAACTCTCCTTTCCCTGTCTTAACTCTCTTCATCACCACCACTGTACCCAACACATATCTTAATATTAACCTACAATAAACAGATAACATTATTATCCTTACTGAGACAGTGTGAAGTAGCCAGGTGAGAGACACAGCCTGGTAGTGGTGCGGGAGACAGCCGGTATGGCCGCCGCTTCTGCCTCCTGCTGCCTCACCTGCCTCACTCTCTTGGTTCTTTCCTCTATAAAATTTACTTCATAAATTTTATAATAAGTTCAAATTTTAATATCAGATTCAATATAATAAATATAATATATAAAATATATTATTCGTCATATTTTAGCTATAGTCTCGGTGTAATGTTAATTTTATCAAGCACGTGTGATTAGATGGGAGCTTATCATCACCATCAGACGCTGTGACTGTGATCTCCAGTTAGTGCCACAACACATCATGGCTACAGCAAGTGCCAGCGAGGAGGTTGGGGCTGATGGTCTGGCTCAGATGTCAATAGAGGACTTCCTGAAGCAGGAGGTGCCACAGCCCGTGCCGGGGGGAGGCTACACCTTCCTGGGTTGCCCGGCCCTGCCCTACACATACCGAGCTTACAGGGGCCTGGGTGGCCCTAACTGGTAACTAACTCACATGCTATTCTCCCATCCCGGTAAACTCTCAGAAAACATTATGTTCGAGTTTATTTATCACCATAGAGACCTTATATGTTACCTACTGTTGATGATATTGTCAGTATTATACTGACCCTTTAGACTGGGGGCAGCCTCACACATATGTAGCTACCGTTAAAACAGTAGTACTGTACATGTACACTACGGGAAGATATGTAGGGTTTTTTCTCACCAGTCATGTAGTGTAGGGATTTATAGTAACTTATATTTACACTGTTCATAAAAAAAACACAAGAGGTCAAGTGAACTAGTATAGCGGCTCAAGGACTTATCAGTGGCTCACTGATCAGTTGGGCGCTGTAAACGTTTTTTTTTTCGCTTCACCTTGCACAGGATATAAAGGGGTGCCCAATGAACTAGCCCCCTCGCGGGGCAAATTAAAAAAAAAAATCTAGTGGCGAAGAGGATAAAGCCAAATCTGACTCCCTAATATATATCACCTATGGTAATTACTCTACTGCCGTGATTCATAACTAATACTTTTATCCTCTTCACTGATAACGAGCCGCTTGGGCGATCGGTCATGTCTCTTACGCACTGTTGGCAAGTACTGGGCATGCACCGGCTCCTGAATGTACCTGAACCTGCTCCAGTATTGGTCAAGTCTTCTCTTGAAAGAGCTCACACTCGGTGCCGTCACAACACTCTCTGGTAGATTGTTCCAAGAGTTTACAACCCTCACTCCGAAAAAGTTTGCCCTCACAGTTTTCTGGACTTGCGGCTTCTTCAATCTTGAGCTGTGACCCCTTGTGGGGCGAGCGTCCGCCAGCTCCAAGTAAGGACACTCAACTGAGTAATGCCCCTTGAGATGCTTATACACCTCAATTAGGTCCAATCTCTCAGGGTAGCTGAGGTGCCGAAGTGCAGGCACCAGTCTGGTGGCCCTCCTTTGAACATTTTCAACCAATAGACAGTCCCTAGCATATCTCCGGGACCAGACGGGGTGACAGTACAGTACTCCAGATGGGGAAGCACTTCACTCTTGAAGATCGTTACGAGGCGGGGCATGAGGTAGTACCGGACCTTCTTATAAGACCCAATAATTTATTTGCCTGATTTACCTTTGTAAGTATTATTCAACGATGTTTGCATAATCTCAACGAGACTGACATTAAATTATATATTCTGACAATGTAGTGTGTATGTCGGCCCTACTGGACCTGCCGTTAATAAAATCAACACAGTGAAGTGACAGTCGCTACTGATAAAAGTTTGACCAACACCTGACAATACTATGACTGATGTAAAGCTTATAACACCTGACAATACTATGACTGATGTAAAGCTTATAACACCTGACAATACTATGACTGATGTAAAGCTTATAACACCTGACAATACTATGACTGATGTAACGCTTATAACACCTGACAATACTATGACTGATGTAAAGCTTATAACACCTGACAATACTATGACTGATGTAAAGCTTATAACACCTGACAATACTATGACTGATGTAAAGCTTATAACACCTGACAATACTATGACTGATGTAAAGCTTATAAAACCTGACAATACTATGACTGATGTAAAGCTTATAAAACCTGACAATACTATGACTGATGTAAAGCTTATAACACCTGACAATACTATGACTGATGTAAAGCTTATAAAACTGACAATACTATGACTGATGTAAAGCTTATAACACCTGACAATATCTATCACTTCTTCCCTTAATTGTGTACATACATACATTAAATGATTAACCCCATCCCTCATTAACTTGTACTGTGGCATCCCGACAGCAGGCAGCGTAGAGGAGGAGGAGGCGGCCGTGGGCAGGGTACAAGAGGTGGCAGGGGGGGCGCGTCATCCAAGAGAGCGAAGGGCGGGATCAAGCCAGGGGTGATAATGACCCACGACCATCCCAGAGTACGACCTAAGTCATACACGACCCCCCAGTCACGACACCTAGTGTCTGTCCTGGCAACTGGCAGTAACGAGGCTCCAGCGGTAAGTAGAGAGGGAGTGGAGGGAGGAGAGGAGAAAGGGAGGAGAAACAGAGAGAGAGGAAGGAAAAGAGAAGAGTGAGAGGAGGGGAGGGGAAACAGGAAGGGAGAAGAGAAGAGAGAATGCATTACTCAATACCGCCCTCGTCAGTACAGGTAAACTTCATTCTCTTCCACAGGTAAAGGAGAGGTCAGGTGGGGTGGAAGACGAATTAGAAGCAGTTTTGACCAAAGCTCATTTCTCCTACGAGGTCACCTTCGTCCTCAATCAACCTCTCTCGGTCAAGGCAGGTCAGAGGTGCCACTTCCTCCCCGTACGTAACCTGAGTGACGTGCGCCGCGACACCATCCTCAAGGTAAGGTCACGTAGCTCCCGGCTAACCTAACCTTTTGTTATTTGTTATTACGGGTATTAGCCCACCCAGGTACAGGTCACTGACCCACATCAGGGCCTGGGGGGCGAAAATGTAGTAATAATAATAATAATTCATAGTAAATAAAATTTATAATAAAAATAAATAAAAGAACATAATAATGATAATAATAATAACATTAATAATAATAATAATAATAATAATAATAATAATAATAAAGAACCATAAAGAAATGCAAAATAAAATAAAAAGATCAACAGTGAGAAACAATATATGTATGTTGTGTTGTCAATAGTAAGAGCGACAATTGAGACCCTGCAATTGTGTGTAAATGAGGCAGAGAATCAGATCAGCAACCTGGGACTTGGTCATAATTTTCGTGATGCCATATGGCAGCAGGGTCTACCATTAGACAACACATTATGCTTCCTATATCTTCCCAGGCGGTAGTACCTCCCTGTTTGGTAGCTGCCTACTACCTAACCTAACCTAACCCATCCGAGGTAGCGTTAGTGGTGTTTAACCAGATTAAATATGCTTTGGAGCTTAATCTTGAGGTGATCCCAAATGCTTATCTTCAAATTATTTCTCAATCAATACGTACAGTAAGTTAAGAACACGTAGCTGAAACTGTTACTGATATTGAAACTTTAGCCAGAAAAATAAAGATGCTATATAAACATTAACACTATTGACATGTGTACCCCCCCCCCCCTCTCAGCTGCTGGTGGGGTTACTCAACACAGGGGCAAGGAGTCATCTACCTGGGGGTGGAGGAGAACGGCAGGGTGGCGGGGATCACTTGTGAGACGCCCTTCATCACCGCCTTTGTTGAGGGCCTTATGAACGCTGTCCGGTACTACACCATGCCCCGCCTCCACGCCCCCCAGTATGGTGAGTGTCCCCCACGCAGCCCCAGTATGGTGAGTGTGTCCCCACACAGCCCCAGTATGGTGAGTGTGTCCCCCACGCAGCCCCAGTATGGTGAGTGTGTCCCCACGCCCCCCAATGTGGTGAGTGTGTCCCCACGCCCCCCAGTATGGTGAGTGTGTCCCCGCAGCCCCAGTATGGTGAGTGTGTCCCCCGCCCCCAGTATGGTGAGTGTGTGTCCCCACGCCCCCAGTATGGTGAGTGTGTCCCCACGCCCCCAGTATGGTGAGTGTGTCCACGCCCCAGTATGGTGATGTGTCCCCGCCCCCAGTATGGTGAGTGTGTCCCCACGCCCCCAGTATGGTGAGTGTGTCCCCACGCCCCAGTATGGTGAGTGTGTCCCCCGCCCCCCAGTATGGTGAGTGTGTCCCCCACACGCAGCCCCAGTATGGTGAGTGTGTCCCCACGCCCCAGTATGGTGAGTGTGTCCCCCACGCCCCCAGTATGGTGAGTGTCCCCACGCCCCCCAGTATGGTGAGTTTGTCTCCACGCCCCCAGTATGGTGGGGTTGTCCTCCCACGCCCCCCAGTATGGTGAGTGTGTCCCCACGCCCCCAGTATGGTGAGTGTGTCCCCCGCCCCCAGTATGGTGAGTGTCCACCCCCCAGTATGGTGAGTGTGTCCCCACGGTCACCCCCAGTATGGTGAGTGTGTCCTCCCCAGTTGGTGTGTCCCCACGCCCCCAGTATGGTGAGTGTGTCCCCACGCCCCCAGTATGGTGAGTGTCCCCCACGCCCCCCAGTATGGTGAGTGTGTCCCCACGCCCCCAGTATGGTGAGTGTGTCCTCCGCCCCAGTATGAGTGTGTCCTCCACGCCCCCCCAGTATGGTGAGTGTGTCCCCGCCCCCCCAGTATGGTGAGTGTGTCCTCCACGCCCCCCAGTATGGTGAGTGTGTCCCCACGCCCCCAGTATGGTGAGTGTGTCCCCCACCCCAGTATGGTGAGTGTCCCCGCCCCCAGTATGGGTGCCCCCCAGTATGGTGGTGTCTCCACGCCCCCCAGTATGGTGAGTGTGTCCCCCCACGCCCCCAGTATGGTGAGTGTGTCTCCCCCCCCCCCAGTATGGTGAGTGTCCCCCCGCCCCCCAGTATGGTGAGTGTGTCCCCCACGCCCCCAGTATGGTGAGTGTGTCCCCACGCCCCCCAGTATGGTGAGTGTGTCTCACGCCCCCCAGTATGGTGTGTCCCGCCCCAGTATGGTGAGTGTCTCCACCCCCCAGTATGGTGAGTGTGTCCCCACCCCCAGCCTAGTGAGTGTGTCCCCCCACACAGCCCCAGTAGTGTGTCCTCCACGCCCCCCAGTATGGTGAGTGTGTCCCCACGCCCCCAGTATGGTGAGTGTCCTCCACGCCCCCAGTATGGTGGTGTCCACGCCCCCCAGTATGGTGGGTGTGTCCCCGCCCCCAGTATGGTGGTGTGTGCCCCCAGTATGGTAGTGTGTCCCGCCCCCAGTATGGTGAGTGTGTCCTCCACTCCACGTATGGTGAGTGTGTCCTCCGCCCCCCAGTATGGTGAGTGTGTCCCCCAGTATGGTGAGTGTGTCCTCCCGCCCCAGTATGGTGAGTGTGTCCCCACGCCCCCAGTATGGTGAGTGTGTCCCCCACGCCCCCCCAGTATAGTGTGTCCTCCACCCCCCCAGTATGATGAGTGTCCTCCGCCCCCCAGTAGGTGAGTGTCCTCCACGCCCCCCAGTATGGTGAGTGTGTCCTCCGCCCCCCAGTATGGTGGTGTGTCCCCCACGCCCCCAGTATGGTGATGTGTCACCCCCCAGTGTGGTGGTGTGTCCTCCACGCCCCCAGTATGGTGAGTGTGTCCTCCACGCCCCCCAGTATGGTGAGTGTGTCCTCCGCCCCCCAGTATGGTGAGTGTGTCCTCCACGCCCCCAGTGTGGTGAGTGTGTCCTCCACGCCCCCCAGTATGGTGAGTGTGTCCTCCACGCCCCCAGTATGGTGATGTGTCCTCCACGCCCCCAGTATGATGAGTGTGTCCTCCACGCCCCCCAGTATGGTGAGTGTGTCTCACCCCCCAGTATGGTGAGTGTGTCCTCCACGCCCCCCAGTATGGTGAGTGTCCTCCACGCCCCCCAGTATGATGAGTGTGTCCTCCGCCCCCAGTATGGTGAGTGTGTCCCCCACCCCAGTGTGATAGTGTGTCCTCCACGCCCCCAGTATGGTGAGTGTGTCCCCCCACGCCCCCCAGTATGGTGGTGTGTCCCCCACGCCCCAGTATGGTGAGTGTGTCCTCCACGCCCCCAGTATGGTGAGTGTGTCTCCACGCCCCCAGTATGGTGAGTGTGTCCTCCACGCCCCCAGTATGGTAGTGTGTCCTCCACGCCCCAGTATGGTGAGTGTGTCCTCCACGCCCCCAGTATGGTGAGTGTGTCCCCCACGCCCCCAGTATGATGAGTGTGTCTCCGCCCCAGTATGGTGAGTGTGTCCCCCCCACCCCCCAGTATGATGAGTGTGTCCTCCACACCCCAGTATGGTAGTGTGTCCCCACCCCCAGTATGATAGTGTCTCACGCCCCCAGTATGGTGAGTGTCCGCCCCCCAGTATGGTGAGTGTGTCCCCCGCCCCCCCAGTAGTGAGTGTGTCCTCCGCCCCCAGTGGTGAGTGTGTCCCCGCCCCCCAGTATGGTGAGTGTGTCCTCCACGCCCCCAGTATGGTGGTGTGTCTCCACGCCCCCCCGTGGTGAGTGTCCACCCCCAGTATAGTGTGTCCCCCCACGCTCCCCCAGTATGATGTGTCCCCCGCCCCCCAGTATGGTGAGTGTGTCCTCATGGTGAGTGTGTCCTCCACGCCCCCCAGTATGGTGAGTGTCTCCCCCCCAGTATGGTGAGTGTGTCCCCACGCCCCCAGTATGGTGAGTGTGTCCTCCACCCCAGTATGGTGGTGTGTCCTCCGCCCCAGTATGGTGAGTGTGTCCCCCGCCCCCCAGTGGAGTGGTGGCGGTATTGATGTGCATGACTACGGTTTTGGTGTGGTTGATGGTGACCTTGTTCTCCGTAGTCCATGCCTGTAGCCTGTCCAGGGTGCCTTGTAGCGATGAGTAGTCTGGTGCGGTGTTGTCCACTAAACCCACAGTGCAGTCATCGTACTTCCACCTGTAAGTGTCCGATAGAGCGTCGTTGATCAGGATGAGGAAGCACAGTGGTCCCATCTTGGTCCCCTGGGGAACACCGCAGGTGAGGTGTTGGAATGTGGAGACCAAGCCCTGATACCTCACTGTGGTGTTACAGGTGTGTACAACATAATGTGGTGTTACAGGTGTGTACAACATAATAATAATAATAATAATAATAATAATAATAATAATTAATTAACGGTTTCTTGAAAAGTTCTGCAGCCCGAAGGCTAAAAATATACATTGGACATAAATGACTTATTACATACGTTGGTGGTTTAACAAAAGCCTTCATTAGAGAAAGGTAAAGGAACATACAGTGAACATAGAGATTAATGTAGGAACATAAGAGAAAATAAAGGTATGCAATAGGCCGGACATACCAGCAGCTCTATTCAGTTACTACACTCTCTATCATCCATGAATCTATCCGGTCTCATAAAAGCTTAGCATTCAGCACTTACTACAAAGTTGCTAAGCTTGTTCCCACTCAAATACTTCACCTATTTGTGAACCAGTTTCCTTCCTCTCTCCCTCCTAAGCCTAAACTTTATCAGCGTCCGTTTGCTCCAAGTCTATACTGCTCGGATATTATAAAGAACTTTCTATCCCTTTATTGATTCCTTTCACCCGCTTATTGCTTCTATCACCTCTCCCTGCACTCTTCGTCTTTCTAGGGAATGCAAGTTAAGTTTCTTTAACCTATCCTGATATGGAAGGTTTCTAAGTCCCGAAATCATTTTTGTCATTCTTCGCTGCACCGACTCTAGTGAATTTATATCCATTCTATAATAGGGGCACCAGAACTGAACCTCATAATCGAGGTGCGGCCTAACTAGCGCAAGATCTAGTTGCAATAAGACCTCTGCACTCTTGTTACTTACACTTCTAAATATAAAACCCAATACTCTGTTTGCCTTATTTCGAACATTCACGCACTGTTTTCGAGGCCGTAGGTCCGGGCTTACAAGTACCCCCAGGTCTCTTTTCACAAGTCGACTTCTCTAGGTTGATGTTGTTACATGTATACATTGACAGTATTTGTTCTTCCACATACACGCTGCACTTGCTGGTGCTGAATTTCATTTGCCATTTTTCAGACCACCCTGCAGTTTATTTAGATCCTCCTGTAATTCATTTGCATCCTGTCCTGAATTAATCTTGCTGCCCTATTTTGGTGTCATCCGCAAGTTTGCCTATGTCACTGCTGATCCCAGTATCTAGATTCTGTTTATGTAGATTATGAACAAGTATATTTTAGTACTGACCCCTGGGGAACCCCACTGGTTACACGGCCCCACTCAGATTTAACACCATCTACGCTGACCCTCTGTGTTCTATCGGTGAGCCATGATTTTATCCAATTTAAAACTTCCCCTCGATACCATGAGCCTTAATTTTTCTCAGGAGCCTCTGATGCGGTACTGTCAAATGCTTTGCTAAAGTCTAAGTAAATAACATCGTAATTTTCGTCATTATCTACTACCTCGAAGACTTTCCTAAAAAACGTCAGCAGATTTGTTAGACAAGATTTTCCCTTTGTAAACCCATGTTGAGAGTCGTAGATTAATTTGCTTTTCTCTAAATGCGATCGGATGCTGTCTGCTATAATTGATTCAAGAAATTTCCCCGCTACTGACGTCAAACTGATCGGCCGGTAATTTGACGCTGATGCTTTTTCTCCCTTCTTGAATATGGGTACTACATTTGCCTGTTTCCACAAGTCTGGCACAACTCCCGTGTCTAATGATTTTGTAAATAAATTTACGAGGGGTCCGCTAATCTGTTCCCTACACTCTTTCAAGACTTGAGGGAAAATTTCATCCGGCCCTGGGGATTTTGTCTTCTTTAGTTTATTTATCCTCTTAAGAACATCCTCTTTTCTGATAGTGATATTCATTAATTTCTCTTTTTCCTTTCCCCTAAATATCAGTTCCACCTCTGGAATTTCCTCGCGAATGTCTTCTGTGAAAACTGATAAGAAGTAGCTGTTCAATGCCTTGCTTATTTCTTCATTACCAGTTATCACTTCTCCCCTCCCTGACTTTAAAGGCCCAACTTTGTCCTTGACCTTTGTTCTATATACCTGGAAAAATCCCTTGGGATTCGCCTTCGATTCTCTTGCTATTTTGATTTCATAGTCTCTCTTTGCTTTCCTTACATTTTTCTTAACATTCCTAGATAGTTCATTATACCTATTTCTGAGCTGCTCCTCTCCTCCCTTTAATTTCTTATATATTCCTTTCTTTATTCCTATGCCATGTTTAAGTTTTCTGGTCATCCACCTTGGCTCATTCTTATTTGACCTAATTTTTCTGTATGGTATATTTTGTTCTTGTGCTTTATGTAGTATACTAGTGAATATATTATAGTCATGATCAATTGTGTGTCATCTATGACCTCACCCCTTCCTACTGGGGACTGACGTAACTGTTCCCAGGTGACCTCACCTAGGTACCTTCTTAACCCCCTGATAATCCGCCAACCGAAAGTTTGAGACTCTGACCATATTGTCATTGTTTTTCGTTTCCCAATTTAGGGTGAACCTGAATTCTCTGTGATCACTGTTACCTAGTTCTTCCCCTACTATGATATCTCTGATAATATTTTCTTTATTTGTTAATACTAGGTCTAATATATTGTCACCTCTAGTAGGTTCTGTAATTAGTTGTTTCAAAAAATTGTCCTGTACTGCGTCTAGGAAGTCTTCAGATTCATAGTCACCTACAATGTTGTCCCAGTCAATATTTCTGAAGTTGAAATTCCCCATAATGCACAGGTTGTTATATTTTGCTGCCCTACTCATTTCCTGCCATATGGGCTGAGCTGCTTCTTTCCCAAGACTTGGGGGCCTGTAAATCACTCCCATAATTAGTTTTTCTCTTCCTTCCGTGATTTCTGCCCATACAGACTCGGTTCCTATTTCACCCTTTATTGAATTATTAATACAACATTTTAATGTATCCTTGACGAAGAGTGCGACCCCTCCCCCCTTCCCACCTTCCCTGTCCTTGTGAAAAAGGTTGTACCCTTCTATGTGGTACTCTGATAAAAAAATTTTGCTCGCCAGATTCATCCAAGTTTCGGTGATTGCTATGACGTCTACATTCTCGGTACATACAACCGCTCTCAGCAAGTCTATTTTATTTCTAACGCTCCTACTGTTTGTATGGTATACATTTAAACCTACCCTTCCCTGCACTAGCGTAGCTAGAGGGGGCGGTCCGCCCTGGGCGGCACTTTTGGGGGGCGGCACTTTTGGGTCTGCTCATCACCCATATCTGCAGCTACTGGAGACGTTAATCCATCCCTTTGTATCGGCGGCAAGTTAATCCTTGTCGTGTCTGACCTAACACCTGACCCACATCATCACGGCCACGTCATGAGCTACACCCTTGCTATGAGGCCCCCCGCCACACACACAACCTGTAACCTGTTGAGGATTAAGGAAACAACTTCAAACAAGTACGCCAGTGAGCTCATGTGGTGTGGGTCAGGTGTTAGGTCAGACACGACGAGGATTAACTTATAAAGTTTAAGTATGTTTGGTGTGTATTTAAAGCATACTATATTTGAGTATGTGAAAGTACAGTAATATTATAATGGTACACAAACTATTTAATATATATATATATATATATATATATATAAGAGTGAGTCACTGTGCAATATGTATTTTTTGTGGGGGCACGGGGGGGGGCGGCAAACTCAAGGGCCGCCCCGGGCGGCACACACTCTAGCTTCGCCACTGCTTCCCTGGTCCTGTTTTACCCCTTCCTGAGTAACCAATTTTACTTCCCAGGACCTGCTTGTTTTTTGACTCCCACTTACCCCGACCTCTCTCAACTGGCGAAACCCCCCCTTTGGAGTGACAATTTCACGCTCCAGGGATGCAGACAACGTCTTTACCCCCGCACGAGACAAGTGTACTCCGTCACGACTGTACAGGTAGTCGTTGCCAGCTATCATTGTTTGCACAATGTATTTCCAGTCTGCAATTTATAGCAATTGCCCTGGACAGCCATTCACGACCAACCCCTCTTCTAGGCAAGACACCACATACTATCGGGATCCCTCCCCTATCTCTAAGTTTCCCCAGCGCCTCCCTATACCTCTTGAAAAGTTCCTCACTCCTAACCTTTCCTATGCCGTTACCTCCTACATTAAGACACACTACTGGATTGGTACCCTCCCCTGACAAAACCCTATCTATCCTCTCAGCTACATGCCCTATCCCAGCCCCAGGAAAATACACCCTAGTCCTACGTTTCCTATCTCTTGCACAAAAAGTCCTATCTAAAAACCTCACCTGGCTGTCCCCAACTACCATGACTTTACCTCTGGGCAGGGTTTGTACAACTGCCCTTTCCTCTCCTTGCTCCATACCGTCCTGCCTCTTCTCTTCCCCGCCAGCTTCCTCCAGCACCTGGTAGGGGTTACTATACTCCACACCCTGGTCAGCTTTCCTGAGTCTGACCCTAGTCCCCTTGGAGACAACCACTCTCCACTCCTGCTCCTCCTTCGCAGGCAGGACACCTACCTGAAGGAGTTCAGTCCTGAGGGCTTCATTTTCCCTCTTTAGTGTCAAGCTCACTCCTCAACTGCCCCAGCTGCCTTAACAGAGTGGCCAGGAGGTCGTCTTTCCTCACACTCCCCTCCTCTTCCCCCAAGACACAACGATCCAAGGCGGCCATTTTCCTTGGTCACTAACGGGAGCACTTGGGGGCACGACCTTCTCCAAGCTGGGTCAGGTAGCAACTGAGCTGGGTCAGGTGTTGAACAGCAAACACGTAGTGTAGTAACTCCCTCCCAGATGGTGTTATGAGGGACCTGACGTGGTGTAGTAATTCCCTCACAGATGGTGTTATGAGGGACCTGATGTGGTGTAGTAATTCCCTCACAGATGATGTTATGAGGGGCCTGACGTAATTCCCTCACAGATGGTATTATGGGGGGCCTAACGTGGTGTAGTAATTCCCTCACAGATGGTATTATGAGGAACCTGACGTGGTGTAGTAATTCCCTCACAGATGGTATTATGAGGAACCTGACGTGGTGTAGTAATTCCCTCACAGATGGTATTATGAGGGACCTGACGTGGTGTAGTAATTCCCTCACAGATGGTGTTATGAGGGACCTCACGTGGTGTAGTAATTCCCTCACAGATGGTGTTATATGAGTGAGGTGTGGTCCTAGGCCTTCCATCGTAGATGGATTAACACATTGATGGTTGTTGTTGGGTCTCACGGGCAGTTATCACTGGGTACCTGGGACCTCACTGTGTGAAGGTTAACAGGTATGACTGTTACTGTTGAGTTGTTCTCACTGACTTAAGCACTGTTCACCACTGTTCACCTCTGTTCAACACTGGTTCCATTCCTTTCCTAAATGAAATTGTAATTTCTGGCGAGAACTTGTTGATATTCCGGTGGGGAGGAAGGGTTCAGGGGAGGGAGTTGGTATGGGCCAACAGTTGACCTGGCTGCTCCCAGAGGAGCGCCAGGTACGTCTTGACCCTTCAGTGGTCAAGGATGAAGTGTGTACAACATAATGTGGTGTTACAGGTGTGTACAACATAATGTGGTGTTACAGGTGTGCGCTTCAACAATGTTATCACCACCACCGGCCAGATCCTCAACAACATGTGGGTGGTGGAGCTTTACGCCATCCCTCATATGGTAAGTACATATACAGTATATATATATATATATATATATATATATATATATATATATATATATATATATATATATATATATATATATATATATATATATATATATATATATATATATATATATATATATATATATTGTGTGTGTGTTCACTGTACACTAATCATTGACATAAAGATCTTGAACAGGTGAGTATATATCCTCTTGATAAGAACCTAATTACTGTACCTTACAACAGGTGAGGTGGGCCGCTCTGGTAGTGTTGTTTTTATTCACTGTTATTAATTAAGTCTTAGTTTGTCAGTAACTAAACAGGGGATTTACCACACCTGTACAGTACTATATACCTGAACATTTACCTGTACAGACTCTGTTATGTGTGACTCAGTAAATAGAAACAGTAGAGAATATTTGTCGCTTATTACCACGATGACTGGGACGTCTTATGTTTTACAATAATAATAGTTAATATGGTTGTGACTTGTTATGACTGAGACAGGTGTTGTGTTGCAGGAGCACTACTACAACCCCGTCAATGATATGAACTACTACATCAGACACGACATACACACCAAGGCCTCCTTCACCGACTTCTGCGAGGCCGTGGTGACCAGGGCCAGTAAGCCTTACGAGAAGGAGGTGAGCCACCCTGGAGAAGGGGTGAAGCTCCTGAAGCAGGTGCTGGAGGAAAGGGTGTGGACGTATCCTCTGTGGGGCCTCACGTGTGTCACAAGTGTTGGTTCACTGACTGTCCTGGTCAGTGTTTCGACAGTCCTGTTGTTTTCGTCTCCAGGAAGTGACCACCACCCACCTGCTGACACCATCCTCCAGCTGACACCACCCTCCTGCTGACACCATTCTCCTGCTGACACCACCCACCTACTGACACCACCCACCTGCTGACACCACCCACCTGCTG